ACCATTTTGTTTCTCTAGAAATCTGAGCAATAGCAGATCCTTTTAATAAAACTGAATCATGACTAATAATACAAGGGCTTTCACTTTTGAGATGTAATCCATCATTGCTTGCCATTTTTATGAAAACCAAAGGTGAAAAATTTTCTGAATCACAGGCTAGGTATAGCCACACATACATGACTTCAGGTTAGCATAAAGATAAGTCTGCTCCTGAGTCTCTCCTTTTAAAGTAGGGCAGCCACTTGTATACCCTCTGGTGGCCCACTCCTCCTTCTCCACTCCAAGGAAGCTCTGGTACTTTCCTAAGTGGCCCCTCCTGCAGAGCACTTGCCAGCATTTGGCTGCTGCTGGTGAAGACTGCCCCTTATTAGCTTCACAAATTTCTTTCTACAAGCAGCAATCCCAGACACACAGTTTGGTTTCTAGTATTTCTGTTACTGTGTTATATTTGAAGTTCTCATTCTACAATTCCCTTTTAGTTGAAGCCCTGAAGTACATGCCGTCTCCCCCATTATTTCTACCTTGATCGATGGCCTCTGTGGAGTGTGGTGAAAGACATCTTTTGATTATGATCCACAACTAGACACATCACACTTTAAAAAACCAAAGGCTGCCTTTATTACATTGCTTTGGAGAGCTGTTAAGACTGTTTTTTTACCGCTTCACATTAAACAACATTTTTGCTGGATTTTGAATTCTTAACATTCTCACTGACAAACGTTTTATGTCAGTGTTGAGGAAAATCTGCAATGCATGTTAGAGAGGTGATGCATTCTCCCTTATGCAGGGATATGGGTATATGTGTTACATATGCTAATACATAACCCGCCATTCATCCCAGGACCACAAGTGTAGCTACAGATAAACTGGTTATCCTAAAATTATGATCATCAGTGCTGATCTCTGCAACCAACATTGCTTTAGGGAGTTGCTAACCATTACCCCTGCTACAATAGATAGTATTTGTCAGTCTAAGTTACAGACAAAATATTCTAAGTTGACTGATTAAGAAAGCCATGTGTTTTAATTTCCTTCATGTTTTAAAAACAATGGACAGAAGTACAGAGAAACTTTTGAAAATACTAAGGGAAATTTATTTAATCCTATAGGTATATGATGATTTTTTGGGAAAAAGATATTTGGGACATCAAACATCAATCTGTAATTGTCCATTTTCCATTCATGCATTAACTCATTCAATATTTGATGGGAATAACAAATATAAAAAATAAGATAATCATTCACTGGGAGCTCACAGGTGGCATAATACAGTTATATAACTAAATGCAACCAGTTGTTTTTCCAAATGTATTCATCATCTGTAATAAAGAAAAATGAAGTAAAACATCTGAAACTTTATTCCCCAGTTGCTACTTCCTTGGAGGGAACTGTAGAAGCATTAATATATGGTTCTTTGGGTTGGGTCACACTGCCCTCTGCTGACTCACTTATTAAGTTAAGAACAACCTGGGTTTGAGATCAGGAGAGGATGGTGTGGGAACCTGCCTCAGGAACTAAAGTTCCCTTTCTTTGAAGGATTCTATTCAGAAGAGACCATTTCCTACTAACATACTAACAGGATCAATATAGCAGATCAAATGATAGGGTGGGGTGGAAATTAGAAGGGAATGGGAATAAGCTAGTCAGAACTTCCTAAGGTAACTAGTCTATTAGGACCTAAGCCAGTGGTCCCTAGACTTGTCTGTACATTGGATCCCTGGAGAACTTTTAAAATATGCCTTATATTACCTCCAGAGATTGTGAGTTCATTGGTCTTAGATGAGACTTGGGTTTTGGGATTTTTCTGACATTCAAATGACAGAGAAGTTGGGAACCTCTTCTAGGCAATAGCATAAGCCCATCAGGGTCTAGGATTTATGAAAAATTGACAAACTGTTTTGCTAAGATTCACATGTGTTAGTCTGTTTGCATTGCTATAAATACCAGGGAATTTTTATAAAGTAAAGAGGCTTATTTGGCTTACAGTTCTGCATAGAACTGTACAGACGGCATGGCGCTGGCATCTGCTTCTGGTGAGGGCCTCAGGTAGTTTACAATCATGGTGGAAGGTGAAGGGGAGCCAGTGTGTCACATGGTGAGAGAGCAAGAGAGAGAAGAGGAAGTTCTAGGCTTTGTTTTGAGACAAAGTCTTGCTCTGTTGCCCAGGCCGGAGTGCAGTGATGCGATCTTGGCGCCCTGCAACCTCCACCTGCTGGGTTTAAGTGATTCTCCTGCTTCAGCCTCCCAAATAGCTGGGACTACAGGCATGCACCACCACGCCCAGCTAATTTTTTGTATTTTTAGTAGAGATAGGGTTTCACCATGTTAGCCGGGATGGTCTCAATCTCCTGATCTCATGATCTGCCTGCCTTGGCCTCCCAAGGTGCTGGGATTACAGGCATGAGCCACTGCACCTGGCCCAGTTCCAAGTTCTTTTAAACAACCAGCTCTTGCCTAAACTACCAGAGTGAGAACTCACTCATTACTATGGGGATGGCACAAAGTCATGCATAAGGGATCCACTCCCAGGACCCAAATACCTCCCACTAGGCCCACCTCTAACACTGAATGTCACATTTTGAACATGAGATTTGGAGGGGACAAAACATCCAAACCATATCACCACCTGAGAAGGGCACACTACAGGTCACACAAACTTACGGAGTACTGGAGTTGAAAAAACTGAGATCACCTAGTTCAGAGATTAAAAATGGGAAATGTTAGGTCATAGATCATTTATGGCTCCCAGACATGTTGAGCTTGCATAACATTTTTTAAAATCTTGAAATTAGTTCCCAATACTTAATTGAGAGCTTTCACATAAAAATCTAGATTTGTGGCTTCTTTTAAAAAGCCAGAAGATTTGATGACTTAAACACTGTAAAATTAAACATTTATATCTGAATCCAGCATCTCTTTTTGCTTTGTAAATGAGGTCAAGGATGAAATCCAGATGTTTGTTTTCCCTTTGTATTTGTATTGTTACTGTATGGAATCTAAGTATATCCAAGGAAAACTAAAGATAAACTTATTTTCCTTATTTCAAAAAGCAAAACAAAAACCCAGAAGATCTAACAACCCTGGACCTGTAGAGCAGCGGCAACAGACCAGAACTCAGCAGTAGTTTAGCCCGAGCTGGCGCACCTGCTCGCCAGTGTTACATTCTCCGCCAGCCTGACCCCAGAGGTCATTTGATTTGGTCTACCCTACTCTTGCCTTCTACAAAACTAAAACTAACTTCCTGCAACTTTCACCCATTGCTCCCAGCTCTGCAGTACAATGGAAGCTCATTCACTCTTCTGCATGAGAGGGCTTCAACTTCTAAGGAAAGGAATCTTGCTCCCTCCCCAAATGTTCTCTTCTCCAGTTAAATATCCCTCATTCCTTCAACTATTCCATGTGTGATAGGGGTTCTGGACTCCTCACCATGCTGGTCTCTTCTTCTGGATACACACTTAGTTACCATCATGGTGAAATGCAACATGTTAGGGGTATTCTGGCTATGGCTGTGACACGTCTACTGAGAAAACCTGAAGTACCACTGATTTTTCTGTTACCATATAATAATAACATGAATTGGTTCATTTTGAATCTGAAACCAGCTGAAATCCCCAAGTCTTTCTTATATGAAATGATATAAAACCAAGTTTCTTCAGCCCAAACATATACAACTTATTTAATTTAAATGAATATGTTACATTTCTAATCTGTTTAATTTCATTTTGATGGGGTCACTCTGGGACTGTTTTCAGTTGCCACTGTCATCTATTATATTAGCAACATTGGGTTGCTTCATCCTCAAATCACATGTTTCCAATGCCTTCATCCAAATCACTGATTTAAAAAATAAAGTTGAATAAGACAGAGCCTTATAAAATATCAATAGAGACCAAAATCACACTAATTCAGCGGTCAACAATTTGTTTAAATATCTGGATAGATGTCCACGTACTACACCATCAAGGCCATCTCTTTCTTATTACAAGGCTGTTTGGAAACCCTCTGAGGAACCAATTTATATTGATTCCATTCCTCGGACTTGTACTGTTTTTGTTTGTTTGTTTGTTTGTTTTCAATAAGATGGGGTTTCACCATGTTGGTCAGGTTGGTCTTGAACTCCCGACCTCAGGTGATCCGCCTGCCTTGGCCTCCAAAGTGCTTGGATTACAGGCGTGAGCTACCATGCCCGGCCTGACTTAGTAACGTTAACAGCCTTATCAAAAGAGGAACTAGCCAGGTGCAGTGGCTCACACCTGTAATCTCAGCACTTTGAGAGGCTGAGGTGGCTGAGGTAGGTGGATCACTTGAGGTCAGGAGTTCGATACCAGCCTGGCCAATATGGTGAAACCCTTTCTCTACTAAAAATATAAAATTAGCTAGGCTTGGTTTGTGCCTGTGGTCCCAGCTACTTGGGAGGCTGAGGCATGAGAATCACTTGAACCTGGGAGGCAGAAGTTGCAGTGAGCTGAGATCAAGTCACTGCACTCCAGCCTGGGCAACAAGAGCAAAACTCTATTTCGAAAAAAAAAAAAAAGAGGAACTAGGCTGGGCGTGGAGGCTCACACCTGCAATCCCAGCACTTTGGGAGGCCGAGGGCAGATCAAGAGGTCAGGAGTTTGAGACTAGCCTGGCCAATATAGTGAAACCCTGTCTCTACTGAAAATACAAAAAACTAGCTGGGCTTGGTGGTGGGGGCCTATAATCCCAGCTACTTGAGAGGCTAATGCAGGAGAATTGCTTGAACTCCAGAGGCAGAGGTTGCAGTGAGCCAAGATTGCGGCACTGCACTCCAGCCCAGGCAACAGTGCAAGACTCCATCTCCAAAAAAAAAAAAAAGAAAAAAAAAAGAGGAACTAGGTTAGTGCTTGAGAAATCCAAGTGGGTTTTGATGACCTTCTTTTCCAAGTACTTAAAAACCATTTTGCTACATATATACATTAAGCTTGTCAGTCTGTAACTTCTCCATTTCTGAAAATCAGGATATTAGAAGACATTACCTATTTTTTTTGCTGAAGATCAGCTGGCTACTTTGGGGTATGCTAATCCTATCCTTTCAAACTTCACCTAAGTGAAGTTAAGATCATAAAGAAATTCTATTTAGGCAGAATTAAGGACTCGGGAGAACAAGGAGATAGAAATCATACATGTAGAACCAAGAGCTTGCCAACACTGAAAAATCTGACACAAAACCTGTTAAGCAGCAAATGGCAGACATTTCTCTCTTTACATTAAAACTGATTTTCAACATGAAAAGCAGATTTAAAAAGAAACCTTTAGGGTAACCATACTTAATGCATTCTTGATCCAGTGACTATCTCAAAACAGGAAAATATTTTTAAATAAGTTGACCATTTGGAAACCACTTGGTATGTCAAGGTCATCTCATACAAAAGTCCCAGTTCTCATGCTCTCTGATGAGCTCTCAAAAGCACGGTTATAGTCCCAGGAAGCTGGTCCTCTGAGAATCATTTTGGGACTCTTCGGAGTTCATTCATCAGCCAAAGAGCACTAGTGAGCAAAGCCAAGGATCCTGACTGGTGAGTGGCTGCCAGAGGAGTTGGGACATACATCAGCAGTGTGCTAATGCCCAAGCCCACCTGTCACAAAGGAAAGAAGGCAATAGGAAAGGCAGTAGCCAAAAGTCCATACTGAAAATCACCAGGCGCCGATAACCACACACTAACTTCCACATCCTCCCATCGGGGCAGTGAGAATACACACATTTTTAATTTCACAAGCAAATATGCTACAATGAAAAAATTTTGAACAAAATTGATAAACCTAAAATTCCCCTTAATTATCCTTCATTCCATCCCAATTCCCCAAAATAGTCACTGTTACCAGTTTTGTACTTACACTTTAGTATGTTTACAGAGAAATACATAATTTTGTGCTTTTAAAAAACACATTGGTCTGTGTCACTTGCTTTTTTTCCACTTAACAATATACAGTATGTTTTTTTTTTTTTTGAGACAGCGTTTTGCTCTTGTTACCCAGGCTGGAGTGCAATGGCGCGATCTCGGCTCACCGCAACCTCCGCCTCCTGGGTTCAGGCAATTCTCCTGCCTCAGCCTCCTGAGTAGCTGGGACTACAGGCACGCACCACCATGCCCAGCTAATTATTTTTGTATTTTTAGTAGAGACAGGGTTTCACCATGTAGACCAGGACGGTCTTGATCTCTTGACCTCGTGATCCACCCGCCTCGGCCTCCCAAAGTGCTGGGATTACAGGCTTGAGCCACCGCGCCCGGCCTTATACAGTATGTTTTAAGATCTTTTTTTTCTTTTCCTTTTTTTGTTCTTTTGGGTTTTTTTTTGTTCCGAGAACTAGAGATCTTATTATTTAAACTGCTGTACAGTATATTCCACAGTATGGATATACCATAGTTGTTTAACTATTTAAGTTGTTTCCAATTTTTCACTATAACAATTCTATGATGAATTTCGTCATACAAAAGATCTTTGTGAATTAGACTGTTTCTAGGACAGACATAAGTCCATTTGCTGGGCCAAAGGATTATCCATTTAACTTTTAAAAGATATTGCCAAATTCCTCTCTGAAAAAAAAACTGTACCAACACATGCTGTCACCAAGAATATTTAAAGGTGTCCATTTTCCTATGCCCATGGCTATACCTAATTATCATTTTTTCATTTTTTTCCAATTTGATAGGAACAAAATGATGCTCGTTTTTAAAATGTGCTCCTCTCTGATTATCAGTGAAACTGACAGCTTTTCATGTTTATTGGCTATTCATCATTAACTGTGTACTGATGTCCTTTACTTATTTTCTGGTTATTAATCTTTTTGTTTTTTGAGACAGAGTCTCAGTCTGTTGCCCAGGCTGGAGTGCAGTGGCATGATCTTGACTCACTGCAACCTCCACCTCTCGGGTTCAAGCAATTCTTCTGCCTCAGCCTCCTGAGTAGCGGGACTACAGGCGCACACCACCATGCCCAGCTAATTTTTGTATTTTTAGTAGAGACGGGGTTTCACCATATTGGGCAGGCTGGTCTCAAATTCCTGACCTTGTGAGCTACCCACCTGAGCCTCCCAAAGTGGTGGGATTAGAGGCATGAGCCACCACACCTGGCCTAATCTTTTAATTTATTGTAAGTATGGAAAATATTTTCTCCTAGTCTGTCACCTTTCCTTTTTTTTTTTTTTTTAACAGACAGGATCTCACTGTTGCCCAGGCTGGGGTGCAGTGGTGTGATCTTGGCTCACTGTAGCCTCAACCTCCCTGGCCTGGGTGATCCTCCCACCTTAGCCTCCCAAGTAGTTTGGACTACAGGGACACCCACATGCCCATCTAATTTTTGTATTTTTGGTAGAGATGGGGTTTTGTCATGTTGCCCAGGCTGGTCTCAAATTCCTGGCTCAAGTGATCTGCCCACCTAAGCCTCCCAAAGTGCTGGGATTACATGCATGAGCCATTGTGCCCAGCCTCTTTTTAACTTTGTACTGGGGATGCCATCAGACCAAAAAGAAGTGGTTTATACCTGTGCATACGCCAAAGCCAGCAGCGTCATTGCTGCCATCTTGGTCCTTCTAGGAAGGGGAATTCTCCGGGAAAAGAAGTACAGCACTGTAATGGCAGTGACTGAAGTGATTCCCTGCAGGAAAGAAAGATTCTAACACATTAGACATAAGTGCCAGGTTTCTACTCACCTTACATGTATCTCCTCTAGAAACCACTCAGCAACCAAGAAGTACCTTCCTGTACCAGTCACAGAGAAGATCCCCGCAGTTCCACCCTGATTACTACTCCGCAGACTGTCTCTTCCACCGTCCTCTTCTGTTTGCCACTTAAACGTTGGTGTGACCCAGGGCTCCACCTAAGTTTCTGTATGTACCACTTTATATACCCTCACTCCCAGTGATCTCATCCACCTTCCAATGTGGGCGTTCCCCTCATTTTTAAGTCATTCTTTGCATCCTTATCCCTAACTGTATCTCTAATTCTATATTCTTAAAGCAGGGCTGACCCCAGCAGATGAGGGTTATCTTCTGGGGTATGAGTGGAGAAAGTGGTGGTGCCACCTGCTGGTGTTAAAAAAGACCTAATATCTCATTTTCATTCCTATCCCTTCAGAACAAAGGTCCAGGACTGGCAATAAGGTCCCCTTCCTCTCCCACGGTATCAGGGAGAATGCTTTCTATCATATTTCTACATTTATTTCACTTTGTTTCCTTTTCAGAGCTTTCCACGATGACGATTTCAATCAGGCTTTACTTATGCCAAAATACTATGTGCAGGTGGGGACTCAGTCCACAGCAGGTAATGGTGCCTCAGCCCAGTCCCCGCTGGACAGCTGAATCCTTGGGCCCTCTCTCTCTGTATGTGCTCTCTTTCATCTCACACTCAACATGCCTCCATCTGATAACATCCTCCCACCTCTAGCTTCACACTCATTTCAATGGTCCCATTCCTGTTGGTCATGTTTTAAGCATGCTGCAGAAGAAACGTTGGGATTTCACTTGATCTGTCTTCACCTTTATTCCTGACAGCCAATCTATTAACTCCCTCCCTCCCTCCCTCTCTTCTCTCTCTCTCTGTCTCTCTCTCTCTCTCTTTCTCTTTCTCTTTCTTGTAGAGATCAGGTCTCCCTGTGTTGCCCAGGCTAGGCTTGAAGTCTTGGGCTCAAGTGATCCTCTTGCCTTAGCCTTCCAAAGTGCTGGGATTACAGGCATGAGCCACTGTGTCCAGTCTTCTTATTTTTAAATTTAACTTTTTAAGAGACAGGCTCTCACTCTGTCTCCCAGGCTACAGTACAGTAATGGGATCACAGCTCACTGCAGCCTCAAGCTCCTGGGCCCAAGCAATCTTTTCACTTCAGCCTCCAAAAGTGCTGGTATTACAGATGTGAGCCACTGTGCCCAGCCTCTGTGTTCCTTTAAATTCTCTCTCAGATGCATCATTCTTTTCAAGTTCCATTCCCACCATGTAGCCCCCATCCCCCTCACCCTCCCTGGCACTGTGCAGTGGCACTATGCTTCTCACAGTCTCCTTACTGCTGATCTTTCCCCACTCCAATTCATCACACCCAGGCCTCCAAGCCAATCTTTACATGGCCCATAGCAGACCCTCACTACATATTAGCTTAAATAGAATAAAAGGTCCTGGCTCCTGGCTCCTTGAGGTTCTGGTTTAGCTGCAATAGCCATGTGCTCAGCAACTATGGTCTCTGTATTCTTCTCTCTACTCAACATCATTTCTGCTGAAATGACTTTCTAGGTATGTGCAGGATTGAGGGAGGTTATCACTTGCCAAGTGGTAAAAGGCATATTTGAACTTTAAGAAGCTGGTAATGCCCTGAAAGCTAGAATTTGGCTGGGGTGGGTGGTGAGGGACAGGGGTGAGTAATGAGGACAAAGACATTAGATCAGAGAACTAGTCCTAAAATTTCTTCCAAAGAGAGCAGGAAATATAGCTCCCGCTCTATCCTGTTACTGTTGCCATCAGTGCTTCGCCAATGACACCCCAAAGCCTATGATAGGCTCCTGTGCTCTCTGGCAGGTAACCACCAGCTACACTTACCAGAATCCGGTGATCAAACTGCACCATGGTGGGATTCTCAAAAACATTCCTCAGGATCGGGGAGAAGGTAAAGAGGTCCTCCGGGATCCAGGATTCTCCCATTTTGGGAAAGGAGTTGTAAACAAGCCCAGCATCTAGCCCTGCCACAAAAGCCCCTGTATTCCAAGGTAAGTGGTATTTATTAAAATGAGAGAAAAAAGAGACCAGGTATTAGTTCTGACATAGAAAAGGTCTGTTATCCCAGAGTTAAACTAAGGGAATAGTCAGAGAATAATAGAAAGATCTACAACAGGAGTTCTCTAACAGGGAAGATCCATCACAATCACCATGGGAACTTCAAATCTTTGCACCCTTACCTGCTCCCACCCCAAGATTCTGCTTCCTTTAGAGAAGTGGAGTAGAGGCTCTGGTGTAGGGGGAGGAGGAGAGGCTTATTAGCTTTGAAAAATTCCCTTAGTGATTTTGATGCCCTCCTCACCCCTCACTGAGTGCTACTGATTTATTTTAGAAATGCCCTCCCACAGATGTCTGCATGACTGACTCCCTTACTTCCTCAGCTTCCACTCAGATGTCCTTATCAAAGAGATTTCACTTGATGATCCCATGTAAAATGGCACTCCCCTAGCCCATTTTCTGTCTCCTGACCCTAATTTATTTTTCTTCATGGCATTAAATACCATCTAACACATTACGTTTCTATTGTGCATTATCTGTCTTCCCCAAATGCTCAATAAATGTTTTTTGACTGAACACAGAAGTGAGAAAAATCCCAAAATTTATAAATGAAATCCTGGATAAACAAATAAAGAGGGTATTCATGAATGAATGGATGACTGATCCATTATTTATTATCAAAGAAAATCCAGAAATGTTTGGGTCACCCTCCCTTTTTTGTTTTCCCTGTTTTGGGGTCAGAGTCTTGCTCTGTCACTCAGGCTGGAGTGGAGCAGCATAATCTCAGCTCACTGCAGCCTTGACCTCCTGGGCTCAAGCAATCTTCCCGCGTTAGCCCCCTGAGTCACCAGGACTACAAGTGCACAACATCACACCTGGCTTGTATTTTTTGTAGAGACGAGGTTTCACCATTTTGCTCAGGCTGGTCTTGAACTCCCTGGCTCAAGCAATCCACCTGCCTCAGCATCCCAAAGTGCTGGAATTACAGATGTAAGTCACCATACCCAACCCACTCCATATTTATTTTTTTTAAATACCTCTTATGAAGTAAAAATTCATGCTCTTATACCAAAAATAAAAGTGTTGAGTAGCTCATTGGTTTGAATCAATATTATTTTAATTCCAGAGCAGTGCTGTCAATAGAACTTTCTGTGAGAGTGGAAGTGTTCTGTATTTGTGTCATCCAATATACTAGCCACTATACTATATACTATGTGCCTATGGAGCATCTGAAATGTGGCTAGTGTGACTGAAGAACTAAATTTTAAATTTTATTTAACCTTAAATTAATAAGGTTAAATATCCATACAAGGCTACAGAGTCCTCCACTAGACAGTGCAGTTCTAGAATGAGAGCAGCAGAGGTGCTGTGGTTTAAAGAATGAAAAAGGCTGGGCTTGTGGCTCGTGCCTACAATCCCAGCATTTTGGGAGGCCAAGGTGGGCAGATCACTTGAACTGGTCAGGAGTTCCAGACCAGCCTGGCCAATGTGGTGAAACCCCGTCTCTGCTAAAAATACAAAAATTAGCTGGGCGTGGTGTTATGCACCTGTAGTCCCAGCTACTTGGAAGGCTGAGGCACAAGAATCGCTTGGACCCAGGAGGCAGAGGTTGCTGTGAGCTGAGATCATGCCACTGCACTCCAGCCTGAGCAACAGAGTGAGACGCGGTCTCAAAAAAAAAAAAAAAAAAAAAAAGAAAGAAAGAATGAAAAAAAATCCTGTATTGGTCTCTCTGTGCCAATGAACTCTCCAACTGTAACCATCTCTGAGGGCAAGTCTTTTGTCTGACCCATCTTGATGTAATGTGATAATAACAATAATGTTTATATAATAGTAACAGCTAACACTTATATAGCCTTTGTTACATACCAAGTACTGGTCTACACATTTCACATTTACTACTCATACTGTTGTCATAATCTCTATTTTACAGATAAGGTCTCTAAGTCCCAAGAGAGGTTACAGAGCTTGCAAAGGTCATACAGTTCATAGGTGGTGAAGCTAGGATTTGAACCTAGGCAGTCTGGATCTAGGTACATGTTCAATATTTTTGTTCAACTGACAGGAAAGTAGAATTTTTGGAATAGAGAAAGGAACAGGAAACAGAGGGTGAAGATGGTGGGATTGAGAGAAGCAGATGTGAAAAGGAAATACAAAAATGCAGAAGGAAGGGGCAAAGCATTAGGCAAGAGGTCCCACCTTAGAGTGCAATGCTAAGAGGTCATCTCTGATGAGCTGACTCCTACCTGAGAGAGCTGTAAGGAACACCAGACCTGCTGTTCCATGAGCAAATCGTCTCAACCGTAGGAGCTGACGGGTTTCAGGCAACTAAATAAGAAAAAAAATCATTCAGTTAAACTGTGTTGCAGGAACAATGAGAGGCAGCAAAGATCTCCAATGCCAAACCCAAGTGACAAATTAGGATCAGATCTTCTTTGACCCTAGACTAGGTTAAGTACTCCCAGCAGATATTCTGTTCCAACGTGCACTGTATTTTATTATAATTATATGTTACTATCTGTTTTCCCTGATACCCCGTGAAGTTTTGTGAAGGCAGGGACTGCCATCTTTCTTATGACAGCAATCTTAGCCTAGTGATTGGCACATAGGTACTCATTACATATCTGTTCAAAAACTGAATGATTTACATTATTCAGGAAAAAATGCTTCATCACAGCTAAAAGGATATAGCTTAAGATCAGGACTGGATTTTCATGTGTGTGATATTAGTGTTCAGCAAATATAGTCAGAATCGAAATTGCATAAAATGCTTAGAGATTTCTGTGTTTAGTGTTTTTGATAAAATCAAAATTTGTTTTTATTCTTACTACAGCCAACTTCTAATACTAATCAATGAATCATCAAATATTTATTAAGAACATTATAGGCCGGGCGCGGTGGCTCAAGCCTGTAATCCCAGCACTTTGGGAGGCGGAGGCGGGTGGATCACGAGGTCGAGAGATCGAGACCATCCTGGTCAACATGGTGAAACCCCGTCTCTACTAAAAATATAAAAAATTAGCTGGGCATGGTGGCGCGTGCCTATAATCCCAGCTACTCAGGAGGCTGAGGCAGGAGAATGGCCTGAGCCCAGGAGGCGGAGGTTGCGGTGAGCCGAGATCGCGCCATTGCACTCCAGCCTCGGTAACAAGAGCGAAACTCCGTCTCAAAAAAAAAAAAAAAAAAAAAAAAAAAAAAACATTATAAAAAGGTGACTATAAAGATACAAAGGGGTTATGTCAGAATACTACCCTCAAATAGCTTGAAAAGTACTATCATCTACCTAAGGAGAGCTTGAAACCTGGCTAGTATGACTGAAAATTAAATAAAAAATTAATTTGAAGTTTAAGTAAACAAAAATCTTATTTAAATAAACTTAATTTTATTTAATTAATCAAAAAAATTTTTTTTCTTCCTCACTCTGTCACCCAGACTGAAGTGCAGTGGTATGATCTTGGCTCACTGCAACCTCCAACTCCCAGGCTCAAGTGATTCTCCTGCCTCAGCCTCCCAAGTAGCTAGGATTACAGGCATGTGCCACTATCACCTGGCTAATTATTTAATTTTTAGTAGAGATGGGGTTTCACCATGTTGGCCAGGCTGATCTCGAACTCCTGACCTCAAATGATCCATCCACCTCAGCCTCCTAAAATGCTGGGATTACAGGCATGAGCCACCGTGCCCAGCCGTAATTAATTAAAATTTAAATAGCCATATGCAGCTAGTAGCTAATGTATTGGACAGCATTGCACTATATGGCTCATTGGCTAGCATCTCAAATCCTTTTTGTAATTAGGTGAATCTAAACATACAGAGAAAAACAATTAATTGATTAAGTTATCAGTAACCTTTAAGAGTACAATTTCAGCAGTGAGAGTATGTGGGTTTATGTGTGAGTGTGGGTAAATGTGTGAGTGGGTATGTATTGGGTTGGGTGGGGAAGATAATTACAGGGATTGAAATGAAGGAATAGGTTGTCAGGAGGCAGCAGCTATATATGCAGGCAATTCATTTTAGAAGTTTGGCTTTGACTGGTGTGGTGGCTCACACCTGTAATCCCAGCACTCTGGGGAGGCAGAGGCAGGTGGATCACCTGAGGTCAGGAGTTCGAGAGCAGGCTGGCCAACATGGTGAAACCCCGTCTCTACTAAAAATACAAAAAAATTAGCTGGGCATGATGGCTCGCGCCTGTAGTCCCAGCTACTTGGGAGGCTGAGGCAGGAGGCTGAGGCAGGAGAAGTGCTTGAACCGGGGAGGTGGAGGTAGCAGTCAGCTGAGATTGTGCCACTACATTCCAGCCCGGGCAACAGAGCGAGACTCCATCTCAAAACAAACAAACAACAAAAACAAAAGAAGTCTGGCTTTGAAAGTCAGGAGAACAGGAATTTTTCAGATGTGGTTGTCTAGTACATCAATATTTCAACCCAACTGGCTTCTCTGTGGGAATGACTGCCCAGACAACATCTTCAGTCCTTATCGGGATCGAGTTGCTAGTTCCAAGTATGTAACAGATGATTCAACTGAAAAGTCCTGCTGTCATCTCAAACTTTTCTCCAGGAACAGCTTACTCAGGTCAACCCATGATTTCAATACCTAATATAAGGCTCTTTTTTTTTTTTTTTTCTTTTTGAGACAGAATTTCACTCGTGTTCCCCAGGCTGGAGTGCAATGGTGCAATCCAGCTCACAACCTCCACCGCCCGGGTTCAAGTGATTCTCTTGCCTCAGCCTCCCAAGTAGCTGAGATTACAGGTATGCACCACCATGCCCAGCTAGTTTTGTATTTTTAGTAGAGATGGGGTTTCTCCATGTTGGTCAGGCTGGTCTTGAACTCCCGACCTCAGGTGATCTGCCTGCCTTGGCCTCCCAAAGTGCTGGGATTACAGGCATGGGTCATTGCACCCAGCCAAGACTCACTGTTAAAAACAATTCTCAGTGGAAAAAAATGTCCTATAAGGGTGCAGTGTCTTGAGACCTCTATTATTAATGAAGGCCTCAAAAAAAAGTTATACCTTGCTTTTAAATCAAAGCATAAAATGAAAAACTAGCATTTTCCTTTAATCAGCATACAGAAAACTACTTCAGACAAAATCACTAAGGTTTCCTATATTATTAGACTTAACTGGTAGGTCTCTGTTTAATGAACAGTGCAACATGGCTCTTATAAACACCAGAAGTTCAGAAACACCTCTGTTCTGATCTTCCTCACCTTGCCATCCACCATCCCTTCTGGGAGTCAAAGGTAAAGTGATGGGGATACCTCTTGTTGTTGGTATTCCCTCCCACTCTATTTTTCAATTTGTGTTTCACCTTTCCAAATAGAAAATGTTGGCAAAATATTCAGCTCCCGTATGATCCAGTAATTCTACTTCCAGATACATATCCAAAAGAATTTGAAAGCGGAGTCTTGAAGAGATATTTCCACACAACTCACCTTGTGTGGAGGGAGCAGCAGTGAGAGCGAGGTCCATAAGCTGGCACAATAAAGAACCAGGGCTGATCCCAGGTGAGCAGCGAGGCGGTACTGACTGACCCGAGGGATGTCATGGGCATCTGGTTTTTCTTCTAGTCCGCTTTTCACCATATACCATCCCAACAAACCCTAGAACCCCCAAGCGAGAAAGCAAACAAGGTAGAAATGATCTGTTCAACTTTATCTACCCCTTCTCTTTCCATACCCTCCCCAATATGCACTGTCCCAAGATTCATGACTTATTCACAATTCTTCACATATCACCATTAATACTTAACTACTATTTAGATAAAAAGTATCCAATCTTTTGGCTTCCCTGGGCCAAATTGGAAGAAGAATTGTCTTGGGCCATGCATAAAATACATTAACGATAGCCGATGAGCTTAAAAAAAAAAAAAAGGTCCATGAATAATGTATCTCATAAAACTAGATTGAATACTTTGGAGAAACTTAATAAAGGTAAATGCTTAAAAATAACTACCATCAAGTTAGGTTGGAGTAAGAAAATTATAAAAGTTTCAGGGGGAAATCATAAAAATCAGTAAGGTTTTGCATGCAGATCGCTTTGCAAATATCTGTTCCCATTCCTCTTTAAGCAAAATCATAGTTTATGGGGATATAAGAAACCTGCAGCTGAATGCTAATCTGGGGATGCATAGTCAAAGAAAAGGCTTTAGCCCTTGATTTTTTTAAAAGTTGGTAATGAAAGTACAGATTTAAGTTTAAAAGTTTATGGTACGTATCATATTCTATGATTCTCTGCTTTAACTGGTTTTTTCAATTAACCAAATAATTATCAGTTCCAATCATATGAGATAAGACACCGTCCTTTCACCCCCACCTGCCCAACTCCGTAGAATCAGGCCAAAGAGGTGGATTCTGCCACTTCTTCTAAATGTATACTCTTCAGGAAATCTTTGTGGGCATTTCTCTCCCTTTTCAAGATTTCCCTGCATATTCTAATTACCTTGATTTTATCTGCATGAGACACTGAAAGATGAAGACGTACAAAGTGTGATTCACTAGCCCACTTTCTTCTCCCATACCTTATCTAACATCTTCAATTTCTGCCACCAAATAGTGTGTTTTCAGTGTTGGTTTTTCAAATTTGAAAATGTTAACTTTCATTTTGTTCTACCTGCCTTTCTCTGGTTACTATTAGACTCTGATTAATGTCTAATGATTACCTGTTTCTGCTGCCTCTATTTCTTCTCTCTCATCTCCCTCCTTAATTCCTTCTTTCTCTCTCTCTCTTTTTTTTTTTTGAGATGGAGTCTTGCTCTGTCATTCAGGCTGGAGTGCAGTAACGTGATCTCAGCTCATTGCAACCTCTGCCTCCCGGGTTCAAGTGATTCTCCTGCCTCAGTCTCCCAAGTAGCTGGGACTACAGGCCCATGCCAGCACGCCTGGATAATTTTTGTATTTTTAGTAGAGACAGGGTTTCACCATCTTGGCCAGGCTTGTCTGGAACTCCGGACCTCAAGTGATATGCCCACCTGTGCCTCCCAAAGCGCTGGGATCACAGGCATAAGCCACCATGCCCGGCCTTAATCCCTTCTAATTGGCTCATTTTCTTACCACTTCTGACTTAAATTAACCAATTAGCTTTTTCCTAGTCAAATTTTGATGATGTTTCTTTGATTCTCTGATAATCTCCTTCAGGATCTCTATACCTTGACCCACATACTCCTATGTGTCTTCTCCCTTAATTCCTGGCTCTCAATTTCACCCAACTTTTTTTTTTTTGCATTATCCTAGCAGTACTAACCTGTTAACTGTGGGAGTATTTCCTTAAGAGGAGCTCAACTTACATGATTTTAATTGCCATTTATATCTGACTATCTCTTAGCTACATCTGTATTCTACAGTCCTTCATCCCACAAAATGTTTCTCTCTTTTGGAATCTTCCTGTATGCTTCTGTAGCATTCTAGCACAGGGATCCCACTTTCCTACAGCAGGCAAGTTAGAAAAAGGGAAGAGACAAGAACTCAAGGAGACACCCATGATGGGAAACAAACTCTGCTTCTTGTAGCACATGAAAATATACTACTTAGTGCTTACTGATTCCAGGCACTAAACTAAGTACTTCAAATACGGATTATCTCATTTAATATTTACACAATTGTACATGCTGACCGCTATTATCCCCATTTACAGGCAAAGAAATCGTAGCTTTCAGAGGTTAGGTAATTTGCCCTACTAAGTGGCAGAGCTGGGGCTTGAAGCGAGGCCTGTGACACTAAAATGCATTCTCTCACCTACTCTATTAAAAGTGCCTCAGAGATTATTTCCTTAAAAACAATGTCAACTAGGAAGTTCCTGGGAGCATTTCTGGTTTCTCAGCCTTGAATAAATCTTACCTGGAAGCAGACTAGGCCACAGAGGGCAAGGACACGTCCTTTCATGCCACGGCTGAGCCAGCCCTTTCTCCAAAAGTAGGCAGCAGGCAGGATGTATGCAAGGCCTACAAGGCGACCCCACATTCGGTGTGAGTATTCCATGTACCAGATGAACTTGAATTCTGCCAATGTCATATCATGATTCAAGCTGGGTGAAATGGGAAGTCAAAAAAGAAGAAAGAGGAAACATCCTTCTGAGTTTTATTTTTTTATGGAATGCAAAAACTTTCTCAGTCCTGTAACTTGGTAGGTCTGCCTCTTCCTCAACAGCCTCAAAATGACTTTGGATTTAAAGGCTTAGAATAGGAGCTCACTAAACATAACTGAACCAAAGATCATGAAATAACCTAACCATTCTGAAGGGTTGAAGTGCAAAAGATCAAACAGGCCTAGTGGGATGTTTACCTAATTTTCTCTAACACTTACATTTTAAATTCTGGAAACTGCTGGTATCTTTGGAATTCTGCTTCCCATTCCTCTTGGCTTGTAGGTGGCTTCATCTCCTTTATTAAATGCCAATCTACCATTGAGAGGCCAGACTCTGTCAACCTTAGGATAAGAAAAAATTTTGGGGGTGTGTGAGTGAGGCTGGATTACTCACAAAAGGTTTACAGCAACAAGTGGATCTGAACTTAACATCGTTCAAGGTACACACATGGTTTCCTTGTTTCCTCTTTTGAGACACTTCTTTCTCACTGCTTAGAATTTTGTCAGAAACAGCTGCCATCAGGTGCAAATGTATTTACCCTTACATTCTCTCAATCCTTTTATTCAAGTCTCCCCAATTCATTTTTTCTAACCCAATTCTTTCACTAGCATTCCCTGACAGGCAAAATCAGGCATCCCCAAACTATGGCCTGTGGGCAGCATGCGGCCCCCTGAGGCCATTTATCCGGCCCCCCACTGCACTTCAGGAAGGGGCACCTCTTTCATTGGTGGTCAGTGAGAGGAGCACAGTATGTGGCGGCCCTCCAAAGGTCTGAGGGACAGTGAACTGGCTCCCTGTGTAAAAAGTTTGGGGACGCCTGGGCAAAATCAGTCTCTACAGCCAAAGAAATGTGTTCTAAATGCATAACCAACATTCTTCAGGGAAAAGAGATCTGTTTATATGTACACAGGTTTAGATTCTTGGGTAAATTTATAGACAATAAAATTCAAACTTGTTGCACTTGCTCATAACTTATATAACACATAAGGTATTTTGAAATAAGGGATGTGGAATGTGAAGAGAATCTGAGGAAGACACATTTGATTAAAATCAGAAATTTTTCACCAAAAGGAGTTAGGATTCCTAAAGTAAAAGGCTGATTTTAGGCCTGAGGCAAGAAATGTACAAGGTGAGCTTGGAACATCTTGTCATACTAGAAAGTAAGGAAGCTATCAAAGGTAATTAGGGCCCTGCCAAAAAGTCACTAGAGCCGATTTCAGGAGATGCCCACTGACTAAAGATGGGACAATTTGAGCAAATCATTAACACCGTCATCACAATGGACTGAAACATCTCAAGTGTGTTTGAACCTATGAGCTCATAATGAGCCTTAAAAACTCAAATGCTTTATTTGTTGCCTTTGGAGGATTTGGGGGACCAAATTGTTATTTTGAAAAATGGTAAATAAAGGCAAAGAAGAATCAAGTATTTATCCTGCCTTTCCTATGTAAACTATACCTTGGGACATCCAAATTGTTGATGAGGAAAAGCTTTTTAGAGTTGAGCTAATAAAATATTATAATTTTGCTACACTAATGAAATAATGGATCTAGGCAATAGTAATCAATGGCTGTTAACATCTGTAATAGACACCAGATATTCATGAATGTTCTATTCACCTATTGAAGTATTTTGCTCCCTCATCCCCAATTTGTATCTGATCAAGCAACCATCCAGTCACAGGAAAGAGAGGGAACAAAGGGACATGTTAAACATCAACAGTTATGCAATCAGCAAAATCTAGACTGTGCAAAATCATAGGACAAATGACTTGCGTTTCCTCAGCAACTAAAAGAGGGGGAAGGGAGGAGTATCTAAATCTATAGTCTCCTCATAGATTTAACTAAACCTAAGAAACATAAACCAGTTGTGATGCACGGAACTTCTTTGGTTTTAATTCAAACAACTGTAAAGAAAGTTTTGAGACAAACTTGAACCCTGATTGGAAGAGAAAAGATACATAAACAATGCACAGGTACTAGTTAAGATGTAAACCAGTGTTTCTAGAAGGCTCCTACTAATAAAACACTCAACTGTTCTATGGCAGGGCAAGCCATCAGATATGTTCCTTCTTTAAGGCCTCAGTTTCTCCATCTGTATGATTAGGGAGCTAGACTAGATGCTCTGTAAAACTCCTTTAGCCAGCCGGGCGCAGTGGCTCATGCCTGTAATCCCAGCACTTAGGGAGGCCGAAGTGGGCAGATCGCTTGAGGTCAGGAGTTTGAGACCAGCCTGGTCAACATGGTGAAAACCTGTCTCTACTAAAAATACCAAAATTAGCTGCGCATGATGGCAGGCACTTGTAGTCCCAACTACTGGGGAGGCTGAGGCAGAAGAATCACTTGAACTTGGGTGGAGGTCACAGTAAGCCAAGATAGCACCAGTGCATTCCAGTCTGGGTCACAGAGCAAGACTCTGTCTCAAAAAAAAAAAAAAAAAGCCTTTTTCCTCAATCATCCTGTGTTTCTACTAATGATCCACTAATGATCCAAATACCTAACTCACTATGAGCAAATTACTCACCTAGTTACTCCACCAAGAATAACTGCTCCAGCCACGGTTCCACTGCAGACCAGGAGCCATCGGCCCACCACTCGCTCAGCAGCCTTTGAGGGCAGGGACACTGTACCCCTTCCAGATTGCAAAGCTACTTCAGATATGGTGCTGTATTGCCCTGGCCTCAAAGGGCATCTGATGCAATCACACTAAGGATCAAGATAGACAAATTACAACTGGAGAAATGGAATGGCTGCTACCCACACTCAACCCCATTCTGATTAGGGTGAAGTACCCTGTACGGCTGCATACCCACAGCTACGCCTTGGTAAGTCATGATCCCTTATTACTGCATCAACCTTTCACCTGGTTTTCCCATCGGTTTTCGAGTCTTGCCTCACTCAAGCCTATCCCAAACTACATCAATCTTCTCATCTCTGCATATGTCCCTCAGACTTCACTCTGCTTACAGATATGAATTATTTTCTTTCACATCTAGGTCATTAAACATTTCTCTCTGGCTGGTACATTTCCTGTCCCCTGATTGATAATACCTACTGCAGATCTCTGCTTACATGTCACCTCCTCTGGAATGTGTTCCCAGGCTTTTCAAGGTCTGCAATAGGTCATTCCCACAGTACACTGGATGGCCCTTAATATACTTTAGCGTACAGTCAAGCATCGCTTAACAACAGGGACATGGGTTCTGTGAAATGCATTCTTAAGCACTTGCGTCATTGTGTGAACCTCATAGACTTACACAAATCTAAAGGCTGGGTGTGGTGGCTCACACCTGTAATCCCAGCACTTTTGGAGGCCAAGGTGGGCAGATCACTTGGGTCAGGAGTTCAAGACCAGCCTGGCCAACATGGTGAAACCCTATCTCTACTAAAAATACAAAAATTAGCTGGACATGGTGTTGTATATTCGTAATCCCAGCTACTTGAGAGGCTGAGGTGGGAGTATCACTTGAATCTGGGAGGCAGAGTTTGCAGTGAGCCACTGCGCCATTGCACTCCAGCCTAGGTGACAAAGCGTAACTCTATCTCTCAAAAAAAAAGTACTTACAGAAATCTAGATGGTGTAGCCTACTATACCCCAGAGCTATATGGTATGGCTTATTGCTTTTAGGCTACAAATCTGTATGGTGTGTTATTGTGCTGAATACTGTAACACAATGTTAATTATTTATCTAAACCTAGAAAAATTACAGTAAAAATATGGTATAAAAGATTTTAAAATGTGGCCAGGTGCGATGGCTCATGCCTGTAATCCCAAGGCTTTGGGAGGCCAAGGTGAGAGGATCACTTGAGGCCAGGAGCCTGAGACCAGCCTGGGTAACATAGCGAGACCCCATCTCTATTTTTAAAAAAATCAGGCACTGGGCCAGGCATGGTGGCTCACACCTGTAATCCCAGAACTTTGGGAGGCTGACATGGGCGGATCAGAAGGTCAGGAATTCAAGACCAGACTGGTCAAGATGGTGAAACCCCGTCTCTACTAAAAATATAAAAATTAGCTAGGCTTGGTGGCGGGTGCCTGTAATCCCAGCTACTTGGGAGGCTGAGGCAGAGAATTGCTTGAACCGGGGAGGCAGAAGTTGTAGTGAGCCGAGATTGTGCCACTGCACTCCAGCCTGGGTGACCCAGATTCTGTCTAAAAAAAAAAAAAAAAAAAATTAGGCACAGTGGCACACACTTGTAGTCTTAGCTATTTAAGAGGCTGAGGCAAGAGGATGGCTTGAGCCCAGGAGTTCCAAGTTGGAGGCTGCAGTGAGTTATGATCATGCCACTGCACTCCAGCCTGAATGACAAAGTAAAACCATGTCTCTAAAAAAGAAATTTAGAGAAAAAGATGTTTTTTTTAAAAAAAACGTACACTTGGAAGGGCAGCTCTATTATAATCTTATAGGACAACCACTATATCTGTGGCTATTGTTGATCAAAATGTTATTATGCAGCACATGACTTTGCAGCACATTTGTTTGTATCTCCCACTAAACTATGCGCTTTGCGATGGCAGCATCTTGTCAGTCTTGCTCTCTCTCTCCTGCTACCTTTGTTTCTAACATCGTTTCTTTATATAACGAGACCGTGATAAGGATTTCATAACTGAACAAACTGACTTCCTCCAGGGCAGGAGTCTTGTAATATTTATCTTTTTCCAGTTCCTAATATATAATAACCACTCAATAATTACTAGTTAAGCAAGATACATGCCCTCTTCTGACTATACCTCTACAAATCCAAAGATCCATGCTCGGTTCCCTAGTTCTGATTAAATGAGTAACCTTTAGAAAAGTGTTAAACCTCAATTTCCTTCTCTATAGAATGCAGTTATACTTCCTCACCTGACTACTTGTAACTTTTTAAGTAAAAATCAGCTATACGGGTAAAAATTTCTCAGCTTTTACCATGTGCTAAAGGCCTGATGTATATTAAAGAATGTAATCCCCATAACAAACCTTAAAGTAGTATTGTTATCCCAGTTTTACAGCTAAGGAAATTGAGGAACAAAGTTTAAATCACTTGGCCAATACCACACAGCAGGTCAATAGTCCAGATCTGAACCTAGGGGCTCTGAACACAAGGAAATGCGTTGTGAGTGCACTGTAAGGAGCTCCGGAAACATGATGCGGGGGCTCTCCATTATCTTTATCCTGGCCCTTTCACTCCATCCCCGCTCCCGCGACTCGGAGTCTGCTGCAGTGCGGTACCTGTGCTCTAGGCGCCGCCCTACGAGCCAGGAGCCGCAGATACTGCCTCCCCATCAAGGCTTTCAAGGGCGGAAAGAGCAATCGCTGCATACTGACGGTAGTGCACGGCCACCTCTTCCGCAACCCAGGGATCCCCGGTCTCCTTTCTCCGCCACGGATAAGAGAAGCACTTCCGGGTCGGACGGAGAGAGCCCTGCCTTCTCCGGGGACTAGAGCAAACAGTAACTGCGCCTGCGCTCTGAGACTCGGCTTTCGCTGGGGCTGCTGGGGCGTAGGCGTCGGGGCCGCTAGTAGAGCTGCGCGCAGCTGTTGACGCGCTTCTCTGCTCCTGCGCTCCGGAGCCCAAACTCCTAGTGCAAGCTGCAGGCGCACGAGGGAGGAACGCGTGGAGTATGAAGAGGCAGGGGGCCTCCTCTGAGCGGAAACGGGCGCGGATACCGTCCGGGAAGGCCGGTGCGGATGGTGGCGGGGAGGGGACGGTTGGCCGACTCGGCTCCCTGGGACGGGCTGGCGGGAGTGGTGGTCAGTGGTGATTTGTCCTGGAGTCGTTTCCTCAGCTCCTTCCAGTCCCGTGGGCGGCACCTTCTATCTTTGAGGCTCTAAAGGTGTGGAAACCGAGGTCGTGACGAGGTGCAGGGAGCGAGAATGGGTCCGCTGTGAAGCCAAGGTTCGAGTCCCAGGGTTCCCACTACGACCGTGCGACCTTGTGCGAGTTGGTTAACTTCAGCTTCACGTTTTTTTCTGTCACCACTCGAGGATGCCAGTATCCGCCCCCTCACCTGGAACCAGCAGTCGGTATCCCGCTGGGATAGTTAATTGTCGAGCGCGGAGCCCAGTTCCTAACTTGCAGTTATCTGTAGTTGCCACGGCGGAGACGGGGCTTGTCCCCAGAGCCACGCAGCTACCAAGTGGCCGAGCTTGTGGCTGCTCCAAGTCCCGAGTTCTTCCTGCGTGCCGGAGTAGGTTGGCATGGCAGGTGCCAGAGAATTTGGCAAGTCCCTCCTCTTCCTCCGTGAACTCTTTGGTTCTTCCAAACTTTGATCTCAGGACTCCTTTACCTTCCTAAAAGTTATCGAGATCCTCACAGATCTTTTCTTTTTATGGATTACATCTATCGATTTTGACTGTATTAGAAATTAAAATAGATTTTTCTTTGGGAGACTAAGGTGGGCATATTACCTGAACTCAGGAGTTTGAGACCAGCCTGGCCAACATGGTGAAACCCCGTCTCTACTAAACGTGTAAAAATTAGCGGGGCCTGGTAGCGCATGCCTGTAGTCCCAGCAACTCTGGAGGCTGAGGCAAGACAATCACTTGAACCCAGGAGGCAGAGATTGCAGAGAGCGGAGATCGCACCACTGCACTCCAGCTTGGATGACAGAGCGAGACTCCGTCTCAAAAAACTAAATAAAATTTTAAAATATTGATTGATTGGAAAATAACCATAGTAAACTCATTACATGTTGACATAACATTTTTTTTATGAGAAAGAAATGTTCCAAAACAACAAAATAGCAAAAGAATGGCAAATTTTATATTTTTGCAAGTTTCTTCATTATGTTTTAATGGAAGACAGGTGGATTCTCATACCTGTTGCTTCATTCAGTCTAACGTGTCAAGTAGCCTCTTGAAAACGCCTCTTCACGGAGGTTGCAGTGAGCCGAGATCTTGCCACTGCACTCCATCTTGGGTGACAGAGTGAGACTCAGTCTCAAAAGAAATAAAAAAATAAAACGCCTCTTGTGAGAGATCAGAGTGAAAAAGGCAAATAAAGTCTTAGTATTGTTATGAAAATAGTTGTTACCCTACAGACTCTGAAAGTCTCAGAGGCCCCCAAAGCTACCTGGACTGGTACACTTTGAGAACTGCTGCTGCTTCTCCTTTGGTCTCTATAACTTTGTTGCTTGGGACAACTGCCTATTCTGCCTTCTGTCGTAGCCGTTTTTGTACATCTCTCCATCTTCTGGCTGGGGTTCTTTCTTGTGTGAAGCAAATAGTCCCCCTGCAGCATGGGCCAGTGCCCCTGATCTGACAGCTGGTCTGATAGCTATCAAGAAACTTAGGGAGTTAACAATGCAGTGCTGTTGGTTAAGAGCATAGATCGACACTTAACTCTTTCACAGTTTGGGACTGATAGTCTTAAATGGGCAGTTGCGATTTGATGTTAGTAGATGATAGGTTTTTGTTTTGTTTGTTTTTCAAAGTAAAAATTGGTAGAAAAAAAGCAATAAAGAAAAGTAAAAAGGAAAATAAAAATAATTTCAAATCACACCCCACCAGGATTGACCATTACCAGTATTTGAGAAACATTCTATTAGGTCTCATTGCATGAAGTGTGCATTGTTTTGTTAATTTTTTAAAAACTTTGTGCTTACAGAAAAAACTCAGAACTGTTTACATCACACTTTGTAATAGAAATACATTAATATTTATGAAGTAATTATTCAGACTTCAGTACATATTTGATTATTGTGTACCATGGTAGATACTGTGCTTGGTGTGGGTGATGATAAAGATTTCTCATATGAATAACTTACTTAGGAGACCAGGCGTGGTGGCTCACACCTGTCATCCCAGCACTTTGGGAGGCTGAGGCTGGTGGATCGCTTGAGTCCAAGAGTTTGAGACCAGCCTGGGCAACATGGCGAAACCCCATCTCTACATAAAATACAAAAATTAATCAGGTCTTGTGGCATATACCTGTGGTCCCACCTACTGAGGAGGCTGAAGCACAAGAATTGCTTGAGCTCAGGAAGTGGAGGTTGCAGTGAGCTGAGATCATGCCACTGCACTCCAGCCTGGGTGACAGAGCAAGACTCTGTATTTAAAAACAAAACAAAAAGTAAGGCACTCTAAGTCAAATAAAACTGATCAGACATTTATCTGCATAAATAATAAAAGGTAGAAAGTAATTCATGTTTTAAGGAGGAACAAGTGGGGTTTTATAACTCATGAAGAGTTAAATGAGTTCAGAAGAAGGACATAAAATATTCTACTTTGGGAGAGAATAAAAATCATGGAAATGTTCCTTGGGAAATTTTATTCAAAGATGAAGCCACAAGGAACTCTGGGTGGAGGAGAAGGCATTGAGGAGGGACTGGGGAGAGCTGGAGGCATAAGAAGGAATGACACGGAGGCTTGCTCTGTCACCCAGGCTGGAGTGCAGTGATGCAATTTCAGCTCAGTGCAACCTCTGCCTCCCAGGTTCAGGTGATTCTCCTGCCTCAGCCTCCTGAGTAACTGGGATTACAGGCACACACCACCATGCTTTGTTAATTTTTGTAGTTTTAGTAGTAATGGGGTTTTACCATGTTGGCCAGGCTGGACTCCAGTTCCTGCCTCATGTGATCCACTTGCCTCAGCCTCCCAAAGTGCTGGGATTACAGCCATGAGCCACCATGCCCAGCCAGATAGCTAATTTTTTTTTTTTGTTTCTTGAAACTATACACTTTACATGAATTATCCCATTTAATCCTCACTACTCAGAGGTAGATACTAAAATCTACCTTGTTTTATAGAAAACTAATCTAGGATCACAAAATAAATAGTGGGTAAGACATGGAGTTGAAGTCTGTCCTACTTTTAAACATCTATTCCTTATAAAGAAGTTTAAATATATTCTGCAGGCATTGAGATGCATTGTAAGAATCTTAGCTGGAATGTGATGATGAGGTCTATGTTTTAGGAAGATTTATTTGGCATTCAATATACATTTTCCCAGTATAATTTCATATGTATGTGTGTGTGTACCTATTTGAGTCTAGAGGCATCAATTCAATAATTAATGTGGTTTTTTTTTTTTTTTTTTTTTTTTTTTGAGACGGAGTTTCGCTCTTGTTACCCAGGCTGGAGTATAATGGCGCGATCTCGGCTCACTGCAACCTCCGCCTCCTGGGTTCAGGCAATTCTCCTGCCTCAGCTTCCTGAGTAGCTGGGATTACAGGCACGTGCCACCATGCCCAGCTAATTTTAATGTGGTATTTTATTGCATTCGTGGGCACTAGTGTACTTATCTATTTACATATTATTGAACATTTGCATTTTGGCAGCAAAATGTAAACTATTTGTGGTAAATTGGTCTGGATGGATAGAGCCTTTATGAACTCTCTTTGTTCTCCATGTATTTTAGGAGCAGCAAATGGATTTCTAATGGAAGTCTGTGTTGATTCAGTGGAGTCAGCTGTGAATGCAGAAAGAGGAGGTAAGAGAAATTAGAGAATGAATGACAGTTGGCTAACCTTTTAAAAGTCTGAAAATTAATCCTGGGAACTTGTCTCAGAGGACCTTGTAATCTCTAAGGATCCTCATAATGCTTTCAGAAACAACCAATTAGAAATCCTACTGGAAAATTATGTCCCTCCCTTCCTCTTCCCAAGTGGGTCACATTTTAAGTCAAGTGTGGACAATAGTGCTTACTCATTGACTTCATTTTTTTATTGAACTTAGCAAAATTTTAATTTTTTTAAACCATTGACTTAAAGATGACTTCAGAGACTTCATCATGAGGAATTTTATTATCTTTTTTACTTTTGAACATTATCTATTTTTACCTCAAAATTTCTGTTGTATTCTGAACTCGTTTTAATGGGAAGCACAGAAATTTCCATCATCTCAGGTTCAGAAAAATTTAAAAAACATTTTTATTATAAACATATATAAAAGTAGAGCACATAAGGTAAACCCCATGTACACATCACTCATCTTCACCCATTTTCATCACATGGCCAGTTTTTCATTTATTTCAGGGGGCAACAAACTTTTTCTGTGAAGAGTCACATAGTATACATATTTTCAGCTCTCCTGGACACATTTGGTCTTTGTCACTTTATTTTTAAATGTTTTGAAAATGTAAAACTTGGCTGGGTCTTATGGCTTACACCTGTAATCCCAGCACTTTGGAAGTCTGGGGTGGGTGAATTGCTTGAGCCCAGCAGTTTGAGACCAGCCTGGGCAACAGGGCCAAACCCTGCTTCTACCAAAAAAAAATACAAACATTAGCCATGCATGGTGAGCACCTGTAGTCCCAGCTACTCGGGAGGCTAAGGTGGGAGGATCACTTGAGCCCAGGAGGCAGAAGTTGAGGTGAGCCAGTCACACCACTGCGTTCTAATGTAGGTGACAGAGCCAGATCTTGTCTAAAAAAAAAGTAAAAATCCTTCTTCCTTTAGCAAAAATCCAGTGAAAGAAAATAAAACATATGTTTCCATTTATGTGAAGTGTCTAAAATAGGCAAGTTTATGTAGACAGAAAGTACTTTAATGGTTCCTTAGGACTGAGAGGCATGAGAAGGGTAGGTGACTGATAAAGGGTATAGGATTATTTGGGGGTGATGAAAATGTTCTAAAATTACTTGTGGAGATGGTTGCAAAATTGTGTATATGCTAAATACTAAAGAGTACTAAATTGTACACTTTAAATGGATGAATTGTATGATGTGAATTTTATGTCAATAAAGCTGTTGTTTTTCAAAAAGAATACAAAAGCATTCTTAATTTACAGGCCATAGCAAAAACAAGGTATGTTCCTGTGGCCTGCAGGTCATAGTTTGCTGACCCCCAGTCTATATAGTACTACCTTCCTCTCCTATCCTCAGATTACTTTGAAGCAAATCCCAGACTTCATGTTATTTCCTTTTAAATATTTCAGTGGGTGTCTCTAAAAATAAGGAGTCTTTTTTCATTGTTTCAGTTCTTTATTGTTTTCAAAGGCCTAGTATGTATACATATATAAGAAATCCATAAATAATGTGGAATTATTAATGTGTGTGTGTGTGTACATACACACATATATACATATTTTTTTTGGAGACAGTCTCGCTTTGTCACCCAAACTGGAGCGCAGTAGCATAATCTCTGCAACCTCTGCCTTCTGGGTTCAAGTGATTCTCCCACCTCAGCCTCCCGAGTAGCTGGGATTACAGCCACCCACTACTACGCACAGCTAATTTTTTTTGTGTTATAGTAGAGACAGGGTTTCACCTTGTTGCCCAGGCCGATCTCGAATTCCTGACCTTGTGATCCACCCACCTCAGCCTCTTAAAGTGCTGGGATTACAGGCGTTAGCCACCATGTTTAGCCTATGAATGTATATTGTTTAAGATAAGGTCCCTTTTAAAGAAAAAACACCACAGTTTTCAGTAACACACCTTTAAAAAAAATCGTTTCTTAATATCATCAAATAACCCAGTCAGTTTTCAAATTTCTCCAGCTGACTCATACAAGAGTGGATGTGTACGTGTGTGTGTGTGTGTGTGTGTGTGTGTGTATGTGTACAGTTCTTTGAATCAAGACCCAAATATTTCATTTGTTTTATATGCCTCTTAAGTCTCTTTAAATCTTTTTTTTTTTTTTTTGGAGACGGTGTTTCACTCTAGTTACCCAGACTGGAGTGCAATGGTGCAATCTCGGCTCACCACAACCTCCGCCTCCTAGGTTCAGGCAATTCTCCTGCCTCAGCCTCCCGAGTAGCTGGGATTACAGGCACACGCCACCATGCCCAGCTAATGTTTTGTATTTTTAGTAGAGACGGGGTTTCACCATGTTGACCAGGATGGTCTCGATCTCTTGACCTTGTGATCCACTTGCCTCAGCCTCCCAAAGTGCTGGGATTACAGGCTTGAGCCACCGCGCCCCACCAGTCTCTTTAAATCTTTGTTTCTCAGCCAGGCATGGTGGCTCATGCCTGTAATCCCAGCACTTTGGGAGGCCAAGGTGGGCAGATCACAAGGTCAAGAGATCAAGATCATCCTGGCCATGATGAAACCTCATCTCTACTAAAAATACAAAAATTAGCCGGGTGTGGTGGCACGCGCCTGTAGTCCCAGCTACTCAGGAGGCTGAGGCGGAAGAATCACTTGAACCCAGGAGGCGGAGGTTGCAGTGAGCCGAGATTGCGCCACTGCACTCCAGCCTGGTGACAGAGCAAGACTCTGTCTCAAAAAAAAAAAAAAATCTTTAAGTTTCTCCTGCTGTTTTCTTTGTTTACTTTCTTATGATTTGTTAAAGCAACTGTGATATTCATCTTTTAGAGTATCTCATAGTCTCAATTTTGCTAATTATATGTGTGATATCATTTAACGTAGTCCTCTCACCACTGTATTTCCTGTAAATTTAGTTAGCCCAGAGGCCTAATCAGATTCAGATTTCAGTTTTGACAAAACTTCTTTATAGGTAACATTATATGCTTCCTGTTGCATCACATCAGGAGGACATAACATGTTGGGTGTTTTTTGTTTTTGTGATGTTAAGATTGATGAGGGAGTTGTTCAGGTATTGCCAGCCTAATCTGTCCTTAAGGTTTTCTGTCAGCTTTTCACCCAATAAATGTAGCAATCCATATTTTATTTATTTATTTATTTTTTGTTTTTGTTTTTGTTTTTGTTTTTGTTTTTGTTTTGGAGATGGCGTTTCACTCGTTACCCAGGCTGGAGTGCAATGGCGCGATCTCGGCTCACCGCAACCTCCGCCTCCTGGGTTCAGGCAATTCTCCTGCCTCAGCCTCCTGAGTAGCTGGGATTACAGGCATGCGCCACCATGCCCAGCTAATATTTTGTATTTTTAGTAGAGATGGGGTTTCACCACGTTGGCCAGGATGGTCTCGATCTCTTGACCTTGTGATCCACCCGCCTCGGCCTCCCAAAGTGCTGGGATTACAGGCTTGAGCCACCGCGCCTGGCCGTTGTTTTTTTTTTTTTTTTTTTAAAAGACAGGGTTTCACCATGTTGGTCAGGCTGGTCTTGAACTCCCGACCTCAGGTGATCCACCCACCTTGGCCTCCAAAGTGCTTGGATTACAGGCATGAGCCACCACGCCCGGCAGCAATCCATATTTTAATAGGAGTTGCAAAATGGTGACATTTATTTTTCACTTACGAACTAGAATACTTCTGTAAAGAACTTTCCCTCGTTATCTGTTTGGTTATGGAGAAGTTCAGTTTGTACAAGAAAGGCAGAATAAATGCTTGCTTCTTTTCTCTTATTTGTTATAGTAATTTTTAGAATAATGTATTTTAATCCATTGTAGTTATTCTGCTTATTGATGGAAAAAATGTGCTATCTTTGGCTAGTGAGAACTTCAGACTGGTTCCTGAGATCTTTTGATGTGACCTTGGTAGCCCAATAATTCTTTTGCTTTCGGTATTTTCTTATTCTTGAAATTATCTTGGTTTAGCTACTCAAAAGTAGCATTGTGTTTTTTAAAGCTTACAATACTAAAGACCCTTTTGGAAAAGATTATGTTATTTTCTTATCACCAAAGACTCAGTATTTCACTGTTGTAGTCAGTTTTAAGAAATGTTTTTATTCTTTGTTACTTTCCTGTACATAAAGAGGCAATCCTGTAATACAAAATTTTAAGAGAACTAGCTTAACTTTAATTAACTCTTAAATTTGAGTATCAGTAACACAGTGTGAGCTGCAGAGTATAACTGAGTTAAAAACAGTTATACTCTAGTTTTATAATTTGATTTCTCTGGGATTATTTCTAAGACTGTTCTATATTTGGAAAAAATATGTATAAACAGGTTGCTGTTCAATAAGAGCTTATTTTTAAAAAAATGTGTTGAGCAATGCATTTATATTACAGGTGCTGATCGGATTGAATTATGTTCTGGTTTATCAGAGGGAGGAACTACACCCAGCATGGGTAAGTGTCCATTTTTCACAGATTTTCTGATTCGAGTTCATAGAGCCTGGAAGCAACTGATAATCAGTTTCATTGGGGCCCTTTACTAATGCCATGTTAACTATGTTATGGATGTTGTATCAGAAATGTTTATGGTTGTAAAAAACAAAATCAAAGATTTGATCAAACATATTTCTTTCTCCATTGAATAATTGAAAGGTAGGTAGGTAATTGTTAATACTGGTTCAGCTGCTCTGCAGTAACATCAAGGATTAGGCCTTTTAAAAATGTTTCCATGCTGGCATCCTCAGTGTATTGAAATGGTCTTTGTGCTATTGTTGTCATACATTTTACTCATACATATATCAAAAACTCCAAGCTATATTTCTGTTATTTTTGTCTGAAGAGTCAGTTATCTTTTATTAAATAAGAGATTTAAATAATAAGAAAACAATCATGTATTTACCTATATGCACCCATATTTCTGGTGTTCTTCATTCCTTGTGTAGACCCCATATTTCTAGGTGGTTTCATTTTCATTCTACCTGAGGTACCTCCTTTAACTTTTTGTTGTTAACTAGTATATTAGTGATGCATTCTTTTTTTTTTTTTTTTTTTTTTTTTGAGGCGGAGTTTCACTCTTGTTACCCAGGCTGGAGCGCAATGGCGCGATCTCGGCTCACTGCAACCTCTGCCTCCTGGGTTCAGGCAATTCTCCTGCCTCAGCCTCCCGAGTAGCTGGGATTACAGGCACGCCCCACCATGCCCAGCTAATGTTTTGTATTTTTAGTAGAGACGGGGTTTCACCATGTTGACCAGGATGGTCTCGATCTCTTGACCTTGTGATCCGCCCGCTCGACCTCCCAAAGTGCTGGGATTACAGGCTTGAGCCACCGTGCCTGGCCCTAGTGATGCATTCTTTCAGCTTTTATATGTCTAAAATAGCTTTCTCCTTTATTTTTGAAAGGTATTTTTGCTGGGTATAGAATTCTAGGTTGACAGTTTTTTTTTCTTTGAAAATGTTTTTCCATTGTCTTCTTGCTTGTGTTGTTTTTGACAAAAAGATCTACTATCATCCATATCTTTATTTTTCTCTATGTAATATGTCTAATTTTTCTGTCTACTTTTAAGATTTTTTTCTTTACCGCCGGTTTTAAACAATTTTCTAATGCTGTACCTGAGTATAGTTTTTTTTGTTGTTGTTTCTTGGACCCGTGCATTAATACTTTGCATCATATTTGGACAGTTTTTAGCATGCAGTGTTCTCCACTCCCTCCTTCAGAGACTTCAGTTATATTTAAAATTAGACTGCTTGAAATTGTCCCAAAAGTCATGGGTGAACTTCTTTATTTTAAAAAATCTCCTTTCTGTATTTCATTTTGCATAGTTCCTATTGTTTCGTTCTTGAGGTTACTGACCATTTCTTCTGCACTATCTAATCTGCTGTTAGTCTCACCTAGTATGTTTTCATCTCATACATTGTAGTTTTCATCTCTAGAAATTTGAGTTTTTTTTATATCTCTGATGTCTCTTAACTTTTTTGAACATATGGAATAAAGTTACAATAGCTGTTTTAATGACCTTGTCTGCTAATTCTAACATCTGCATCAGTTCTGGGTTTGTTTCATTTGATTTATTACCTATTATATCTTATTTTCCTGCCTGGTAATTTTTTATCAGATGCAAGACATTATGAATTTTACTTTATTGGTTACTAGACATTCTTGGATTCCTGCAAATGTTCCAAAACAGTTTGATCTTTTTGGGTCTTGCCTTTAAGATTTGTTGGGCAAGTCAGGGGCAGTGGTTAATACAGAACTAATTATTCCTTATTACTGAGTCAGGATTCTTCTGTGTACTCTATCCAGTGCCCATGAATCTTGAAATTTTCCTGTCTGGCTAGTGGAACAGGCATTATTCCCAGCTTGGTATGAATGACAGACACATTATTGCTAATCCTTTTTAGTGGTTCTCTCCCAGGTCTTGCATAGTTTCTTTGCATGCATGCACCAGTCAGGACTCAGCTGAATATTAAAGGAGGTTCTCTGCAGACCTCCGGAGTTATCTTCCTTCCTTTCTTCTATTTCTTCCTTCTTTTCCTTTTTCTCCTTTCCTTTCCCTCTCTCTCTTTTCTTTCTTTCTTTCTTTTTCCTTCCTTTCTTCCTCTGTTCTCCTCATCTCTTCTCTACTCTTTTCTTTTCTTTTGACAGGGTCTCACCCTGTTGTCCAGGCTTGACTGAAGTGGCGTGACCATAGCTCACTACAGCCTTAAACTCCTCAGCTCAAGCAATTGTCCTCCCTTAGCCTCCCAAGTAGCTAGGATTATAGGCATGTGCCACCATGTCCAGCTAAATTTTTTGGTTTGTTTTGGTAGAGATGGAGTCCCACTGTGTTACCCAGACTGATTTTGAACTCATTGGCTCAGGCAATCCCCCTGTCTCAGCCTCCCAAAGCACTGGGATTACAGGCATGAGCCACCATACCAAGCCTAGCTTTTAAAAAAAAAATTCCTTTTTTAAACCATTTAGATAGTCTTTGCCACTCCAGTGTTGTCTTTCTGTCATCCCTGTACCCTCTCCTACAAACTCTAGCTACTTCAGTCTTCCTGAACTCTCAGCTTTGTCTCCTTAACTCGAGGAATTCTTTTGGCTCCATGTAGGGCCCCCATCCCTGTGCTTTGGCTTAGTAATTCTCAAGGCAGTAAATTGGGTCAATCAGAATTGACTTATTGACTTCATTGTTTACCACTTTCAAGGATCATTGCCCTTCACTGTCCAGTGTTGCAAACCACTCTTCCATATATTTTGTCTTTTTAAATTTTTAATTATTTTTATTATATGTGGGAAGGTAAATCCAGTCACTGTTACTCTGTCTTGGCCAAAATCAGAAGTCCCTACATGAATTTTGGTCTCCTAAGTTATGCTACTCTGAGGTAGGTAATAGCATAATTTAATGTAAAAGGTTTGTATCTGCAACAGCCCTTTGGAATCTTCCCACTAAAAGAGGGCATTCCTGGCCATTCTAAAATCCCTAGAGCATGTCTATAAATTTGAGTACAGTCTGTTTTTGTAACACCAACTATAATTCATTGCTTGGTATTGGACAACTGCTATTCTATGCAAAATTGGAGTTTTTTTAGCAAGGAAAAAGGAAATTCATACTGGGTAAACAAGTGATGGAGCTTGTCACAGCGTTATACTATTGATGGTTTATGAGCTAGCCACATATTATGGCATGGTTAGGTGCTTTTATGCATAGATCTCTGCATAAAACATAAAATCATAAGTAGAACTTTGCTCCTTTTCACATATCTTGTTTAAATAAAAAAAAAAAAAGGTTTTGCTAAATCTCTTTGTCCGTTAAAGGAATATGAACATTGAAACTATTTAACCATCTCTCTAGTAGGTTTTAAATAGAGCTGTAATTAATTAGAAAGAAGAAATTGAATCTTGGGGAATAATGTACTGGCAGAACATTGAGCCTGGTAGTTATTACACTTTCAAATGTCACATACCAATAAAAGGGTTCTGAGTCAGAAGGATTTTTGTTGAGTCAACTGACAAGTGCTTTTAAATTATAGTATCTTCTGTTTTCGAAATTGTTCTGTTTAACCCTTTGCTATTACTTACCTTCTACCATATATACATTTTTCTTCTCAGTGTCCTCCTTCCTTTTAGAGCCATCTTTCTCTGGTTTCCTTAGTCAACTCCACCTTTTTCTTTTGGAGGTAATATACAAAAGCAGATATAAATGACCAGTAATATATCATTGGCTTTATTGAGCTTTTAGCTCACATAATTTTAGTCTACTTTCTTTTCTTGCAGGTGTCCTTCAAGTAGTGAAGCAGAGTGTTCAGATCCCAGTTTTTGTGATGATTCGGCCACGTGGAGGTGATTTTTTGTATTCAGATCGTGAAATTGAGGTGATGAAGGCTGACATTCGTCTTGCCAAGCTTTATGGTGCTGATGGTTTGGTATTTGGGGCATTAACTGAAGATGGATACATTGACAAAGAGCTGTGTATGTCCCTTATGGGTAAGAATTTGTATCTACGACCTAAAAGCCTCTAATGATAATTGTATTTATGCTCCCAATTTAGAAAAACATCATCACAAAACCGACTTTGCAGTCATAGCTACAGGCACTTATGCTAACCTAAGTATTTCAAATAGTAGTTATTTAGAGGTTTGGGGTGGGTTGTATGTATGGCAAAGCCTTCTTAACTCACCTTAATTACTGTAGATTAGGTTCTGCTACTGTTCTCATAGAGTAGAAATTTAAGGGAAATTTACCATGATTCTTTTAATTACTGCACCAAGAACTTCAAAAGCTATTATAGCTGATGAGGATGAACCACCAAGTTGGAAGGTGTGAAGAGGACAGAAGCAAACGAACTATATTACTAGGCCAAAGTATTTCTTAAATGTCCTCAGAGGGGCAAGTAATAGATGTAATGCTGTCCTTATGGTTGTCAGTTTAAATGATTTTCATTTGGTGCTAAGGCATAACCATTTTTTATGTAAAAATCAGAGATTTGTGGAAAGATGAGACGTTTGAATTTTTAAGGCTGCCATTTTATTATTATGTTAGTTTACTGTCTTGTTAGGAGAAGGTGTTAAAAAGTTTCAGCTAACATGGAGAATTCAGTAGGTAGTAATCCGTGATGACTTCTTCATTCATGTTGTTATGTGACTTTCTTTTTATAGCTATTTGCCGTCCTCTGCCAGTCACTTTCCACCGAGGTGAGTCATTTTCATTTTAGAAGTTCTGTTGAACAGTGTTAGTTTTCTAATTTCAACAACTGCCACAACCTTTTTATGGAACACAATTCTGTAGTGTTCCAAGGTTACCAACTGGTTTTTTAGATTCTGGGACTAGAAGTTATAAAAGTAGAGATGTTTAGTTTCTATAAAATTTGAAGCCTTGGTTATGAAAAGTTGTTAAAAGTGGATGTTGGTGGTGGTGGAATGTAATAGAGAGAGAGATGGAATAAGTATTGCCTTCAAGTGCATTGAAGCAAGCATTCCAAGCAAGAATCCTGAGATTCATTTTAACTAAGATTGTGTTAGGTCGTGTACAAGCCCAAAAGAATAAATCGTCGCTGGTGAAATGAAATGTACTGCCTATTTTAAGCCAGACAAAACTATCCCTGGGGTTAGCAGTGAGGTGAAGTTTCACAGATATAAACTTCCTAAGGAAAGAGAAAGTTGGGGATCTGGAGAAAAATTGGATATTATTGGGAAGGGAGAAAGGAGAAGCAGATGCTATCTAATATTGACTATGTAGTCAATCAACAGATGTCCACTATGGTATACAAATTGTTTTTCGTTATAGCTTATCTGCATCACAATGATTTTTTAATGTGACAGTTTCTTATAAAGAAATATTTCCTATAAAAAAATCAGTTAGTTATAATTTCTTTCTTTCTTTTCTTTTCTTTTTTTTTTTGAGATGCAGTCTTGCTCTGTTGCCCAGGCTGTAGTGTAGTGTTCAGATCCCAGTTTTTGTGATGATTCGGCCACGTGGAGGTGATTTTTTGTATTCAGATCGTGAAATTGAGGTGATGAAGGCTGACATTCGTCTTGCCAATCTTGGCTTACTGTAATCTCTGCCTCCTGGGTTCAAGCAGTTCTCTGCCTCAGCCTCCCTAATAGCTGGAATTACAGGTGCTTGCCACTATACCTGGCTAATTTTTGTATTTTTAGTAAAGACAAGAGTTTCACCATCTTGGCCAGGCTGGTCTTGAACTCCTGACCTCATGATCCACCTGCTTTGGCCTCCCAAAGTGCTGGGATTACAGGTGTGGGCCACCACACACAGCCAAAAAATCAGGTAGTTATAATTTCTATGCTCTTTAGCTACATCTTGGTTAAATGGAAGAACAAGTGTCTATTTTGCCTTCAGAGAGCACTGCCATTGCACATGAAAAGAAGTCTACAGTCAAAAAAAATTTTTTACTTCAAATTTCTATTCTTTTTTTCATTCCAATAGGTTTAGCAAAAATATTTTCCTATTTTCAAAATTTGTAGAATTTTTGGGTTCCACATTTTTTTCACTCATGTATTTAATGAAATAGCATAATATTGTTATGGTGGTGAGAAGGTGCTGCCACCAAAACAGGTAGATTGTCTGTGGTAGATTTAGTTGTCTACATACACTAAAGGGTGAAATGAAGGGGTCTATCCCAGAGGACCACTACCACCTAATCCACCACACGTTAGAACTTCTATATCATTTAGCAGTGTGAGGACCAAAGCAGAAGTAGGTTTTCTGTTTTCAGTTTCCTGGTACCACTTTACTCTTTGAGGGCTCTGACGAGGGTAGAAGTCTCTTAGAAAGTAGGATGGAATTGAAACTTCATATAGTCTGTTGAAAGCAACTATCCTTATGCATTTAAAATTTTACCATATATGAGTGCTACCTGTGCACATTTATTTAATGATTTTCTTTAAATAAAATCTTAAGTATGCACACATAAAAAAGAACAAGACCATGACCTTTGCAGAGGCATAGATGGAGCTGGAGACCATTATTCTTAGTAAACAAACACAAGAACAGAAAACCAAATACCACATGTTCTGACTTACAAGTGGGAGCTAAATGGTGAGAACACATGGACACATAGAGGGGGACAACACACACTAGGGCCTGTCTGAGGGAGGAGGATGGGTGGACAGAGAGGATCAGGAAAAATAACTAATGGGTACTAGGCTTAGTACCTGGGCAATAAAATAATCGGTACAACAAACTCCCAGGACATGGGTTTACCTGTATAACAAACCTGCACTTGTACCCCTGAGCTTAAAAAAATGTGAAAAAAAATTTAAGTAAAGTTATGTTCAATAGAAACTTTTATAACTACTGTAAATTGAAAACTTTTCATTTCTTATCTGCATTTAAGTAAATATACCTCTTTAAATGTGAACCATTATTAAAATGATCGTGCAGAGTGGTGGCATGCAGACTGTGGTGTGCTGATAAACTGGCCCTTAGGAAAAAGAGCCCTGATTTATAGCATTTTTTAATTTCTGTGGTTTAAATACTCGACCTTCACTAATTTGTTTAAATTAATTAAATTTTTATTTTTATTTTGAGACAGGGTCTTGCTCTGTCATCCAGGCTTGGGTGCAATGGTGCAATCTCAGCTCACTGCAACCTCAACTCCCTAGGCTTGAGTGATCCTCCCATCTCAGCCTCTCACGTAGCTGGGACTATAGATGCACACCACCATGCCCGGCTGATTTTTGTATTGTAGATATGGGGTCTTGCCATGTTGCTCAGGCTGGTCTGAAACTCTTGGGCTCAAGTGATCTGCCCACCTCCCAAAGTGCCAGGATTGTAGACATGAGCCACCACAGCTGGACCTACCTTCACTAATTTCGGGCTGCCAGTGGATTAACAGTCTGATTTACAGAATTATTGAATGTTTAATAATTGGCCTTTGTAAGCCACACAAGCTGGGTCCAGCCTGTCACTGCATGTATGCTACATTTTGGGAAGCAGTGCATTAAAGGATGTCTGTTCAAAATTCACATCAATTTTATTTATTTCAGCCTTTGACATGGTTCATGATCCAATGGCAGCTCTGGAGACCCTCTTAACCTTGGGATTTGAACGAGTGTTGACCAGTGGATGTGACAGTTCAGCGTTAGAAGGGCTACCCCTAATAAAGCGACTCATAGAGCAGGTACATGGAATCTCTCTTTTTTTTCCCCTAAGACTTTGTGTGTGGTTACTCCTGACATTCTGTTTAGCCAGTTTGTAAAACTATAGATTACTGACTTTGTGGTTACTCTGTAGGAAAGAGCAAGCAGGCAATAATGGATATCATTCTTACTTCTTTCACATGAGCCTTTTTAATAATCAAGGATTTTAATATCAAATTACACATCAATAGTGCCTACAGATCTGATCTAACTTGGATAAGCAGAACAGATTTTACCTTTCCTCTCCCATTGGCATTACAGTTTCATTTCTTAGTTTAGATACAAAGTCTTGCTATGTTGCGCAGGCTGGTCTTGAACTCTTGGGCTCAAGCCATCTGCCAATCTTGGCCTCCCAAAGTGCTGAGATTACTGCACCCAGCCAGCATTGCAGTTTTAAGCCATATCTTTTCATTATACAGCCCATGTATATTCAGGGGATCTCATATGAAATTATCATCTGGAGATAAATTCCAAAACTAAAATTACAATCTTATTTCTTCCTATCTGTCAATATAGAAGGAAATACATGTTTCTCTTTTATGAGTTCTCCTGGTGAGCTGGCATCATTTGTAGAGCACTCAGGGTGACTTTGTAATTATAGTATGTCTGTGTTTTTCTGACATCAGTCCAGAGGCATTATAAATTAGTGAATATAGACTTTGAGATAAGAGAGTCATGTGTTTGAGACTCAGGTTTGACACTTGCTATGTGATGTTGAGTAGGTTAATCTTTAAGCCTCTGTTTCCACTATGTGAAACTGAGATGAATTTAATACTTCTTTTGTAGAGTTTCTCAGAAGATTGCTAGAGATGAGATACGTAAGAGGCTTGGCACAGTGGTTGGTATATAGTAGGTCTTAATAATGTTAGGTTCTGTTATTGTCACTTTTTTTTTTTTTTTTTTGGATTATCAGGAAGCAAACATACCTTTTAATTATTCTTTCCCATGAAGGTCAAGAAAGAAAATATTACTAGCACCTCTGAAGGCCTGCCTCTTCCATCTTGCAAAACTATGCCTCCCTAGTCCCCCAAAATAACCACTTTCCTGATTAATACTATCATAGATTAGACTTGCCAGTTTTTGAATTTTATTTAATTTAAATAAAATCATATGTAGTACTTATGTCTAGCTTCCTTGGCTCAATAGCAAACCAGTGGGTATTATCCATGCTGTTGAATGTGACTATATTTCATTCATCTTCATTGCTGTATACTATTTCATTATATTGCTGCTATTATTAATAATAGTATTAATGTTCCCGTGTAGACATCTTGTTATTTTCACTTTTCTATAGCTACAAAAATAATTTTCAGAAATTTCTCCTGAAGAGCTGACGTAACTTTGCTATTCTGGGTTATAATGGTTTGATAAACATTTATTAAATATATATTAGATGCAGGACATTTGTACTGTGGTAGTAACCAAGGGGCAAGTGTCTGTGTGTAGTCACTGCCCTTACCGTTTAGTGCAGAACAGGCACTTCTAATAGAGCAGGCAATTTTAATAGAGCTCTATTTTTGAAAGGTACTATAGGAGTACATTGGAGAGGAATTAACCCCAAATTTAGGGAAATGAAGGTTGGCAATACTTAGAGGAAGCTTACCAGAAGAAAAGATATTCAGACTGCAGTGTTATGCTCATTTGAAGGATGTTTGAGAGTTATCTGTGTAAAAGTTGGGGCAGTGGGGAGTGAGGGTGAAGTCAGGGGGCGGGTGTTGGTGGAATTGTTTCATACAAAAGAAATAGTATAAGCAAAGGCTATAAACAAAAGCAAGCATAACTTAAAATAGTGAGGAATGGACGGAATATTGAATGTGGAGATAATGATATCCAGAGCCTTGAAAACCTTATTAAAGTATTTATTTTCCTGGTGCAGCTGGAAGGCCTAGTGTTTTAGAAGAGTTGATGAATTAGTTTTCCAGTTTTAATAGGTTACTCACTAAAGAGTAAAGAATAAGATATAATTGCCATAGTTCACTGCACGCACGCGCGTGTGTGTGTGTGTGTGTTGCTTGTATGTTAATCATTGGTTAGTAGGAAGTGCTACTCAAATATTCTTATACATTAACTTTACTGAAGTAACTACCTGGCAGTGTAACATACTAGTTAAAGCCTAGGCTTTGTGATTAGACAGTCTGTGTTTAAGCCCTGGCTTTGACACTTATTAGTAGTGACCATGGATACATTACCTGACCATCCTAAACCTCAACTTGCTCTTTTGCAAAGTTAGGATAATAATGGCACCTACCTCCTAGAATAACTAGGAGGAATTTCTTCAGGTTATAGCACTTAGTAATTGTTCTATATTATTAAATCTGACACTTAGTGTAATTGCTCTATGTTATTAAATCACTTTGATAGTCTTAGGTAAACATACACTTCTAAATAATCTTGTGTGGAAGGCAAAAAGAAGTGATAGAATTTCTTTTTTTTTTTTTTTTTTTTGAGACGGAGTCTTGCTCTGTCTCCAGGCTGGAGTGCAGTGGCACTATCTTGGCTCACTGCAACCTCCGCCTCCTAGGTTCAAGTGATTCTTCCGCCTCAGCCTCCCGAGTAGATGGGACCACAGGCACGTGCCACCATGCCCGGCTATTTTTTGTTTTTTTTTTTTTTTTTTTTTAGTGGAGATGGGTTTCATCATGTTGGCCAGGATGGTCTTGATCTCTTGACCTCGTGAACCGCCCACCTCGCCCTCCCAAGGTGCTGGGATTACAGGCCACCATGCCAAGCCAGAAGTTATTTCTTTAAAAATATTATTTCTCTATGTTTTGGAAAGCCTTGATTTGGAAGAAACAGGCAAATGTGACTTTTTTTTCATTCCGAAGTGATTTCAACTTTTTAGGTAGTCAGTGTTTTGTTTTATGGATGCTTTGTTTATACCATTTGAGAATACGAAGCATCCTTGTTCCACTTATTTCTCTAACAATTATTAAGTTCTATGAAATAGCCACTCTCCTCTTTCACTCGCTTTCATTACCTTGCTTTATTTTTTCTTTGTTATTGCTACCTGGAATTTTATTGTATAAGTATACCTGTGTATTGTCTTGTCTACCTTGAATGTGTAAGCTCCATGTGAGCAGGAACTTTCTCTTATTCACCATGTCAAAGAGGAAAAACTTTTCTTCTATCCTCAGGGTTTGTTATTTGGGGCCTGCAAGTTAAACTGACTGAAGACAGGTTAGCAGGAGCAAAAACAGATTTTATCTTATACATAAGTACATATATATATCAGTACATACAGAAGTTCACAAAGAAATATGATTTAGAATTGGGGGCTTATATACCATTTTAATAGGTGAAGGGAATGGAGAAAATGGCACTTACAGGGGGAAAATGACTTTTTGAAAAGATAACTTTCTGGAGACAAATTTATTATGCTGGACATTTTACTTGACCAAGATCCCAAAGGAATAGAGAAGATCTAGTGAAAATTAAGCATTTACAGTAATTTTTAAAATTTAATATATTCTGACTCATGTTTCTATTCTCACTGCCTTATTATCCCATTCAAGAGAAAGATATTAAAATTTACTTTTTTTTTTCTTTTTTCAGGCAAAAGGCAGGATTGTGGTAATGCCAGGTATTTATTTATCTATCAATTCACTAGCATAACACTGAACTGTAGTGGAAGAAGAGGAAACGAGGCAGGAAAATGTGAGAGAGTATTAGTACATTACATACTAGTACTTGATCTTCAGAGAGAATATATAGTTTGATTAAAATACTTAAGACTGGGAGATATGTGCTTGAATTTAAAAATTTAAATAAGAAGGAAAATATTCTAATAGGGATTAGCTCAAAGAGGAGCAAATAAGGAAGTAGACAGAGATTGAGGTTTCTCCATGTTTGGTCTCCCATTATATAGAATTTTATGAATTTAGATGTTCGTCTCTGGTGTGGCACATCAAATTTGATGCTGCTATACTGTGTTTGAGACAAATGTCGTAATGAACAGGTTTAAGCAAAAGTTTAGGCAAGATTCTTAGGTAAAATATAATACTCTCACAGTTCCTGAAAATCTCTGATTGTCAAATTATTTCTTTTTTTTTTTTTTTGAGACGGAGTTTCGCTCTTGTTACCCAGGCTGGAGTGCAATGGCGCGATCTCGGCTCACCGCAACCTCCACCTCCTGGGCTCAGGCAATTCTCCTGCCTCAGCCTCCTAAGTAGCTGGGATTACAGGCACGCGCCACCACGCCCAGCTAGTTTTTTGTATTTTTAGTAGAGACGGGGTTTCACCATGTTGACCAGGATGGTCTCGATCTCTCGACCTCGTGATCCACCCGCCTCGGCCTCCCAAAGTGCTGGGATTACAGGCTTGAGCCACCGCGCCCGGCCTAAATTATTTCTTGTAACCAGAATTGAATATGATCCTGATGATAACCATAAGATTAGTTAAGTTCATAATGGCTGACTAGAAATGAACAGTTGGAGCAGTTTCTAAAGAATTAGAATTGGCTGGGCGTGCTGGCTCACGCCTGTAATCTCAGCTCTTTGGGAGGCCAAGGCAGGCAGGCAGATCACCTGAGGTCAGGAGTTCAAGACCAGCCTGTCCAAGATGGTGAAACCCTGTCTTTAAAAAAAAAAAAAAAGAATTAGAATTAAACAATACAACCTAGAAGAGTGAGACAAATATAAAAATGATCTTAATTTTTCTTTTTATTAAGTTTCTCAAACATACAAAAAAGTAGACAATAGCATTATGAATACTCATATGCTTGTTCCCTAGATTTAACATTTTGCCAGATTTGTCCCATCTTTTTCTATCCTGAGGTATTTTATGAAAGTTAAATTGAAACCATCATGACATTTTATCTTTATACATCTCTAAAAAGGGTGGGATTTTACGATAACCACAAGTCCATTGTCACACCTATCAAAATAAACATTTAATACTCAACTTTCTCCAGTTGTCACCACAATGGTTTTTTTTTTTTTGAGACAGAGTTTCACTCTTGTTGCCCAGGCTGGAGTGCAATGGCGCGATCTCGGCTCACCGCAACCTCTGCCTCCCGGGTTCAGGCAATTCTCCTGCCTCAGCCTCCTGAGTAGCTGGGATTACAGGCACGTGCCACCATGGCCAGCTGATTTTTTTTGTATTTTTAGTAGAGACGGGGTTTCACCATGTTGACCAGGATGGTCTCGATCTCTTGACCTCGTGATCCACCTGCCTCGGCCTCCCAAAGTGCTGGGATTACAGGCTTGAGCCACCACGCCCGGCCTTCACCACAATGGTTTTTATAGCTGATAGGTTCAAACTAGGATCCAGTCAAGAAACAAGCATTACGTTTTTGGTTATCTTTTGTTTGTTTATTTTTAGAGATGAGGTCTTACTATGTTGGCCAGGCTGAACTTGAACTCTTAGCCTCAAGTAATCCTTCCATCTCAGCCTCCCAAGTAGCTGGGACTAGTTGCACACTGCCACACCTAACTCTATTGTATTTTTAAATATCTTTAATATAGAGGTTTTTCCTTTTATTTTTCTTGCTTTTAAAAAAGTTGCATTTACAAAGTTTGGGCTGGACCCAGTGGCTCACACCAGCAATTTGGGAGCGCAAGGCAGGCAGATCACCTGAGGTCAGGAGTTCAAGACCAGCCTGGCCAACATGGTGAAACCCTGTCTCTACTACAAATACAAATATTAGCCAGGCATGGTGGTTTGTGCCTGTAATCCCGACTACTTGGGAGGCTGAGGCATGAGGATCGCTTGAACCAGGGAGGTGGATGTTGCAGTAAGCAGAGATTGCACCTTTGCACTCTAGCCTGGGCGACAGAGCAAGACTCTGTCTCAGAATAAGATAAAATGAAAAGTTTGGACTACTTACCCTGTAAAATGTCCTACTTTCTCGATTTATCAGATTGTTTCCTCTTGATATTGTTTAGCTTGTTCCTCGTGCCTCTGTATATCCTATAAACTAATAGTTAAATCATAAGGTTTGAATAAGTTAAATCATAGCTTAAACATTTTTTCTAAGAATACCTTATGGGTGATTCTGCATACTTATATGACATCACATCAGAAAGTATTCAGTCTCTGATCATCTCACTACTAATGATGCCAATACTGACCAGGGTTCAAAATAGTGACACCTAGATAAAGAGTAACTTTTTTAAAAAGAGGCCATGAACCTGGGCAATATAGTGAGACACTGTCTTTATCAAAAAGTAAAAAAATGAGTTGCGCATGGTGGTGTGCTCCTGTAGTCCCAGCTACTGTGTTGGCTGAGGTGGGAGGATAGCTTGAGCCCTGAAGTTAAGGCTGTAGTGAGCTATGATCATACTGCTATCCTCCAGCCTGGGTGACAGAGCGAGCCCCTGTGTCCGGAAAAAAAAAAAAAAAAAAAAAAAAGCCCATGTAAGGGTGTATTGTCAGGTATTGAGGAAGCCTTTGACCTGTAGCAAGTCCTTAAAACAGGAACAGATAGAAAGTATATATTATCTGTCAAATTGAGGTCCTTTTTGGTTTATCAAGGAGTGTTAAAGAGACTTTCTGAGTGTTGATAACTCTTCCATTTTGCACAAAATGTATATAGTATTGACAAATAATACTTAGACAATTGTTGACATTAAGGGTACCTTTGTTTAATATGCAATTGTTACCTGCTGTGTGCAAGGCATTACCTGGGATGCAAAGCTACACAAGAAACTACTTTCTCAAGAAGCTGACTCAGGTCAGAAGATGTTACATACAAAAATATTTGTGATTAATTTCTTTAACAAACCTTACTAAGCAACTGTTAATTATATGACAATTATGTATATTATATACTAATTGTGTAACAGATATGAAAACAGAAATTAAATAAGCAGTCCTACTTGGGGAGCTCACAGAATAGACTTATAAACAAATTTATTAGAATTTCATGTGAATAAGTACCAGCAAGTAAAAACTCCTAGGTAAGTCATTCTGAATGCCTAAGAAGTATTCATCACTGAGAAATATAAAGAGGTAGTTACCCTCTAGGAACTTCCGTAATGAAGCCTACAACATACTTAAGCTCTGGTTTCTTCATCTATAAAGAGAAGAATATTAAACTAGTTCTGTGGGGTTATTTTTAATCATAAAGCTGTGTTAGTCTGTGTCTGGAAAAATGTATTACCTATGTACTTAAGTTGCTAACTGAGCAACATTATTTCAGTGGCCAGATGTTTTGTTATTTGTTAGAAGGAATAGAAGGAAATAATATATTTATCTCTTAATCCTTACAATAGACTTATGAGATAGGCAGTATTACCCCTCTTTCATTGGTGAAAATGTTGAGGTCAGAGGATTTAAGTAGTTTATCTGAGATCACATAGCTGTGAAGAGCTGCAGTGATAAAGTCAGGATTTGAGTCTAAATCTACTCAGCTTTTGTGTTTTCTATTTATTTCTTTCTTTCCTTTTGGTTTTTTTTTTTTTCTATTTTGGAGACAGGATCTCATTCTGTCACTCCGGCTACAGTGCAGTGGTGCCATCTCAGCTTACTGCAACCTCTGCCTCCCAGGCTCAAGTGATCCTCCTGCCTTAGCCTCTTGAGTTGCTGGGTCTACAAGCGCCCACCACCACATTCAGCTAATTTTTGTAGGTTTTTATAGAGATGGGGTTTCACCATGTTGCCCAGGCTGGTGTCGAACTCTTGCCGCTCAAGTGATCCTCCCACTTCACCTCTCAAAGTGTTGGGATTACAGATGTGAGCCACCACACCCAGCCTTTTTTCTGTTTCTTAAGGCTGAGTGATATTACTGTACCACGAAGGAAAAAAAGACAAGTTAATGAGTCTCAAAGAGTGTGTAAAGATAGGTTATTTCAGCAACTTTAAAGCTTGAGATACAAAGTATATATATTTAAAATATTGAATACATCCTATAGTGAGATAAAGATATAAAGATGAGTAAACTAATTTCGTATTTATAATCTGGCACCAATTCAGAATACGATTCTTTATATATAAATGTTTAAAAGATTGTTCATCGAAACAAATGTCATCATAAAATATTTGGTGGTACAGTTTTAATAAAGTAGAATCAGATTCTTCTGTGAAATAAAGTATGAAGCTGATATTATAACTCATAACCTGTGTAATACCTTGCATTTTTCCATTTCCAGTGAAGTCAGTGTACTCTTTAAATCCTAGGCTAGAGACAGAACCTTAGAGGTTTTCTTTCAGGCACATCTCTGAGGTTGTGCTTTTGTAGATTTTTTTCCTCAAACCTGTACTTACCTTTCATTTTAATTTGATTTTGCTTTAATTGAGGGGCAAGCAGGGATAGCATTGTTATGTTAGCCAGTGGACAGACAAGATTCTATCATACATGTTCTATAACCTTAATGGTACTTCCCCAGAGTCTATATCTCTTTTATCACTTTTCTTATCTCATTCTACCTTGATAGGGAGAGACTAATTTTTGAATCAATGAGAAATTCAGTTTGGGGATTCCAAGTAAAGCAAGCAATCATTATTCATTAAATGTTATGCAAAATTCTATTTTACTTAATGTGTTACTTATTCTTTCCAACAGGAGGTGGTATAACAGACAAAAATCTACAAAGGATCCTTGAGGGTTCAGGTGCTACAGAATTCCACTGTTCTGCTCGGTCTGCTAGAGACTCAGGAATGAAGTTTCGGTAAAAATGTATTCTATGATTCCAATAAGAAGAATGAGATTAATTTTTACCTTCTCCCCAATAGGAAAAGATGGTGACATTTTTTTTTTTTTTTTTTTTGAGACAGAGTTTCTCGCTCTTATTACCCAGGCTGGAGTGCAATGGCGCGATCTCGGCTTACCACAACCTCCACCTCCTGGGTTCAGGCAATTCTCCTGCCTCAGCCTCCTGAGTAGCTGGGATTACAGGCATGCGCCACCATGCCCAGCTAATTTTTTTTTTTTGTATGTTTAGTAGAGACGGGGTTTCACCATGTTGACCAGGATGGTCTCGATCTCTTGACCTCGTGATCCACCCGCCTCGGCCTCCCAAAGTGCTGGGATTACAGGCTTGAGCCACCGCGCCCAGCCAGATGGTGACATTATTAATCAATGGAGTGTTGTGACTACTACATAAGTACTGTAGTTGTTTTTTTAGTTGAGAAACATTTCTGATACGATTCTTGTCCTGTCTTAAAGAAACAGGCTCTTTTGAACACAGTTGACCCTTGCATTGTAGAGGCATTGCTGAACTTAGACCAGTTATAATAAACAAATTCCACAGTTGAGCTTCAAATAAGTCAGCTATGCACATGTGCCCATTTGCGTATGATTTCCTGTAGCAAAGTTAATAGCTATGGTGTAAGGATGGAAGAGTCATAGTTATTTTTCTCCCTCCTACCTTTAATACTTAGTCTTCCCTCGTATTTGTTCTCTGTTTTTAGTTATTTTTAAATTATATTACCTTAAATTGTAACTATCATGTGGGATTTTAAAAAAATACTTAAAAGAGGATTCTTATAATTTAATGTTTCTGTTGAATGTTTAGTTGAATGTTTCTGTTTATAAATTGAGAAAAATACAATGTAAAAGAAGCAAGATGGCAGGGTGAGGTGGCTCAAGCCTGTAATCCCAGCACTTTGGGAGGCCAAGGCTGGCGGATCACTTGAGGTCAGGAGTTTGAGAGCAGCCTGGCCAATATGGCAAAACCCCATCTCTACTAAAAATACAAAAAAATTAGCTGCGTGTGGTGATGCACACCTGTAATTTAAATTTAAAAAGAAAAAGCAAGAGCCTTGGAATTTACAATTCCAGTTATAAAATCAAGTATACTGTCTGGTGAATTCAGCTACTAGATGTTTCAAGTAATTAATTAATGAATAAAAATTACAGAATATAGTAGTCTAGCATACTTGACCTACCTACCCTTGTATAATGAAATAGTCTATAAAATGAAGTGGCAGTAGGAGGACTCATTTAATAACATATGATTGATTATTCCTTTATTATTTCTATTACAGAAATTTATCTGTTGCCATGGGAGTCTCACTTTCTTGCTCGGAATATTCCCTAAAGGTAACAGATGTGACCAAAGTAAGGACTTTGAATGCTATTGCAAAGAATATCCTGGTTTAGCCAGACATCTCTGAGAGACATGGATATCACAGGATGAAGGTAGAAGTATAATCTGCAATTCTCTATGACACAGCTTTAACCTTCTTCTCTGGCCAGGACAGTCACAATCTTTGTTTTAAGTTTCACATGGCCACGGAGAATGTGCCCAAGAAGAAAAGGAATTTGAAACAGAGAGAATCACTTCCTTAATTTAGTCTTACCAGCAATTGTCATCATGGTTAAAGCTGGTCTGTACTTCTACAGACAGCAGCTTTGTCTGTTTTCAGTGGAATTAATTGATGAACTGGGAAAATTCAGCTGCATGGTATGAATTCAGAGTGTGACTTAAGGGTTATTTCAGTAGCAGTATTTTGCTTTTTCATTTGTAAAATAAAAATTTCCACTCTTATAGTATAGTCTCTTATTCTTGCACTGAATACAGTTTGTAGCCTACAAGTATGAAAGGAAAAATGCTGTCTTACTTTTTTCTTCACTTTCTCTTTTTATTATGTGCTCGTTGGATATGCTGCTTTGGGCAAGATAATGAGGGTACAGAGTAAAATGGTGCAGTGTGAAAATTCCCAGAATTGGGAAGCAGGATATCAAAGTTCCTAGACTTAAAAAGACAGAAGTGATCTCTGGCATTCATTAGGTTACTTCTCCTATAATCAGAAAGAAATGGCTTAACTCTTAAGATCCATCTTATAATTTAAAACAAAGACCTATAGTAAAAACCGGAGGGAGTTAGGAAAGTTATCAGAGTAGCAGTTTTTTTTCAACTGAAGTCACAGATGGGAAAGATGGATTTTTTTTTCCTATGAGCAGGTCCCAAATGTTAAAGTTCATCACTACCTGTACCTATCACTTTCATATTTATAATCTCATTTTACACAAAGAACACACTGGTAATAGAACTGTTGTTTCTATCCTAGGAGAGTAACTGAAGCCTAAAGAGCTTCCCCTTGGTCAGGAAGCCTCTGAATAACATGCACAGATTGTGTACTAATGAGTGTTTATATGAAGAGTCTTGCCTTTATTTATTTATTTATGAATGTTTATATGAAGAGTCTTGCCTTTCTTTCTTTCTTTCTTTCTTTCTTTTCTTTTCTTTTCTTTTCTCTTCTCTTCTCTTCTCTTTTCTTTTCTTTTCTTTTCTTTCTTTCTTTCATTTTTGAGACAGTGTCTCACTCTGTCATCCTGGCTGGAGTGCAGTGGTGCAGTCTTGGCTCACTGCAGCCTCTGCCTCCCAGGTTCAAGTGATTCTCCTGCCTTAGCCTCCTGAGTAGCTGGGATTACAGGCATGTGCCGCCACGCTCTGCTAATTTTTTGTATTTTTAGTAGAGACAGGGTTTCGCCATGTTGGCCATGCTGGTCTGGAAATCTGGCATCATGTGATCTACTTGTCTCGGCCTCCCAACGTGCTGAGATTATAGTCTTGAACCACCATGCCTAGCCTAGATTTTAGGGTCTTGGATCTTTCAGGATTTCAACATTCAGGATTATCGTATTCAGGATTGTGTCTTTGGGGATTATGATCCAAACCCCTCTTTGTGTATAAAGCACAGATATATATACAGTCTGTAACAAATACACAGTATATCCAGGGTATTAAAATTTCACTAGGGAAGAGGGTTTAGGGGAAAGCAGTGGTGAAAAAAATCTCCTGAGATATAATGGTCAAGAAACACAACCTAGGATAAGGTACTAAGGTGGGAGAAAGTCATGGTTAAAGGAATAGTCATAGTTAAAGCTAAAGAAGTAAACTTGTGATATAAAATGGATTTAATTTGAACTTATTTTGCTTAAAATGTGTAGCATTAAGGAATACATCATTCTATGAACATTATCCAGAAGTACAAACATAATACAGGTGTTTTAAGAAATCCAAATATTGAAATAGGATGGTATTCACATCTTTTCCTGCCTTATAAAGAATTATTTATATTAAATATATATTAATCTTTGTGTGTTTTTTGGCATAATGAGGACAGTGGCTGGAGAGAGGAAAATTGGAAGAAGTCTAGAGAGGCTACTTGATTTATTTGAAAAGGGCATAGAGCTATTTTGGGAGGAAGAGAAGAGACCTAGGAGAGATAGGGGTGGGGAAGTAACCACAGGTGAGCTCAAATGGGCTGAGATCTTTTAGGAAAAAGAAAGGAGATTCAATGATATGAGAACTTTGGAGAGAATGGCAAGGAAGTTTTTAAGGAAGGTTTGTTTTTGGCTGACATTATCAGATGTTATAATTACCTATTTGCCATCTTTTCAAAATACTTGAATAAAAATTTTATAATATTTGCAAAAATTTTGGACTGTGACACTGTTGAAAAGTAAACATGAATATACCATTATATAAGAGCAATAATTTTGAAATTAAAAGAAAATTGCAGAGATCTCTAAATAGAGCTAAAATTTTTTTCTAAAGTAATGTTTTTGTTTTCTATTTCTTAGATCAGCTGTTTTTCTCCCAAATAGTAGAAAAAGCCCATGTAACGTGGGCTTGTTACTTTGCAAATTATTTTTTCTAAATACCCCTGCTGACAGTTTAAGCAGAACATTATGCTTGATCTTACTTTTTGCTAGCCAACTGTTCTCCTTTACTATTTGTCATTCCATTCTTCTGCCAGGAAACTACAAAATATCCTTATTTATCAGCCTTAATTCCTAATTTACATGCATTCACCATCTTTTTTGTTTAATCTTGGTAAATCAAAAATCAATTAATCTGTCCCTGGATAATTGTATCTATTACAACAACAGGAAATATATTCTTCTGTCTTTGGAGAAATACCAGTTAAGATTACAACTTAGCACTAAGTACAGCTAATCTCTGAACAATGAAGGCATTCGGAGTGTTGACCCCCTTATCCAGTCTAAAACTTATATACAACTTTGACTCTCCCAAAACTTAAGTGAAGTCATGTACAACATCTGGACAGTTTTCTTTAGCAGGAATTTGTTTTGAGCTTGATGGCTTTCATGAGTTTTTTTGTTAACAGTAGTGACATCTTCAGTGATGTAATGCCTTCAGATTTTCATGATGTTCTATCAGGGTTCTCTTCCATAGTGCTGAGAGGACCATGTGTAATGATCCTTAAAGATTCTTAAGACCCCTTGATCTTGAGGCCAAATTAGAGGCATTGTGTTTGGGAGCATGTCGACCACTTTGATGCCTTCAGTGTTGAACTCTTGGAGTTCTACATGGCCAGGGCATTGTTCAATATCAAAAGAACTTTAAAAGACAGTCCCTTATTGGCAAGGACCTTCTCACTTAAGGGACAAAGCATCTTAGTCCATTTGTGTTGCTATAATGGAATACCTGCGGTAATTTATAAAGAAAAGAAGTTTTATTTGGCTCTTCGTTCTGCAAGCTACATGTTCCATGAAAGGGCCATATATTCAAACCCACCCCCAAATGCTGAAGGAGTCAAGACAACAAACAAGGCAGACAAATCCAATTTGTCAGTATTGTGTGATTTATTGAGGGAACTTACAGACAGAAGCATGGTTTTGAGGGGGGGAGCTGCAAGACAGGTAGGTCTCTTCCCTATAACCCCCCAGACCCGGGGATTATATCTTTAGAAAAGGCATAGGTGCTCTGGTTAGAATGTATAGGTGTCTATAGGAATCACAGCATGTGATTTCTGCAACACAAGGATTGTTTTGGAGGAAACTTGCAGTGAATAGGTGTTCCTACATAAAGAATAATAAATCAACTAAACATTTTGGAAGTATTCTTGGACTCGGGGTTAGCCAGGTGGATTAGCATTTAAAATAAAGTCACTTCTGTCCCCACACTTTACAAGGAGCATGGCACCAGCATCTGCTTCTGATGAGGGTGTCAAGAAGCTTCCATTCATGGCAGAAAACAAGAGGAGCCAGAGTATACAGATTGCATGGCATGAACAAAAGCAAGAGAAGCGGGAGGAGGCGCTAGGCTCTTTAGCAATCAGTTCTGGGGAAACTAATAGGGTAAGAACTTAGTAGCAAGGAAAGCACCAAGATATTCATGAAGAATCTGCTGCTTTGACCCGAACATCTTAGGCTCCCATCACTAACACTGGGGATCAGATTTCAGCATGAGGCTTAGTGGGGGTCAAACAAACCATATCCAAACTATAGTATTCTGCGCCAGAACCCCCAATCTCATGTCCTTCTCACATTGCAAAATATAATAATCCCATCCCCAAAGTCTTCACTTGTTCTAGCATCAATTCAGAAGTCCAAAGCCTCATCTGAGACTCCAGGTGAGTTTCTTAGAGCTAGCTGTGAGCCTGTGGAATCAAACATTATTCACTTCCAAGATAACAGTGATGGTACAGGTGCCGAGTAAACATTCCCATTCCAAAAGGGAGAAATCAAAGAAAGTGGGTAATAGGCCCCATGTAAATCTGAACCCCAGCAGGACAGACATTAAACCTTAAAGTTCTAAAATCCCCTTTGACTCCACATCCTACAACCTGAGCGCGCTGGTGTAAGGAGTGGGCTTCCAAAGCCTTGTGCAGTTCTGTCCCCACAGCTTTTCTGGACACGGCTCAAGTGAGCTGCTGTCATGGGTTGGAGTTGAATGCCTGTGACTTTTCCAGGCTGAGGGTGCATGCTGCTGATGGTTCTACCATTCAAGGTCTGGAGGGCAGTGGCCATGTTCCCACAACTCCATTAGGAAGTTCCCCAGTGGGGACTCTGGGGAGGTTCCAACCCCACATTTCTGCTTTGCAATGCCTTAGTAGAGTCTTTGTGGGGACTACCCCTGTGGCAGGCAGGTTTTGCCTGGGCACTCCGGCTTTCTAGTACTCCTGAAATTTAAGTGGAAGCTGGCAAGCCATGACTCTTGCATTCTGCAGACTTAATACGGAATTCACCAAGGCTTACAGCTTACATCTTCCAGAGAGGCTGGAGCCAGAGCAGCTGGGTTGCCGGGAGCAGCATCCTGAGGCAAGAGCAACACATAGCAGCAGAGCCTAGGCTTGTCCCTTCAAACTATTTCATCCTCCTAGGCCTCTGGGCCTTTGATAAGAGGAGTAGCCTTGAAGATTTCTGAAATGCCTTTGCAAACTTTTCCCCAGTTGTTCTGACACCTGGCTCCCTTTTATTGTTGCTAATCTCTCTAGCAAGTTATTGTTCCTCTTGGCCATATTCTTGGATTCCTCTCCAGGCTTCAAATTATCTAAGTTTTTATTCTCTGTTTTCCTTTTAAGTTCCAACTTTAGGTCATTCCTTTGTTCCCATATTTGATTGCAGGTTGTTGGAAGCAGCTGAAGCAGCCACACTTTTTTTTTTTGAAACAGGGTCTTGCTCTATCACCCAGGCTGGAGTGCAGTGACAGGATTATGACTCATTGCAGCCTTGATCTCCTGGGCTTAAGTGATTCTCCCACCTCAGTCTCCCAATAGCTGGGACTACAGTCAC